GCAAAGCCCCAGCCAGCCAAGCGCAATGCTGCCCACTGCCCTAGCCCGCGATCTTACTCTGGGCCTTCACCCGCCGACTGCCGACCATGCGCAGGTGTTTGCGGAAATTCCTGGCGGGTGGGGGGGGGGAAGGAAGCAGGGGGCGCTTAGGGCCATAAGTCGGGTGGGCAATGACCCTGACCCACCCAGCCCTGAGGTCAGCCCACCCAGCTGAGTTCACTGGGCCTCCACTTTTGCCAGGACCAAATGCCCTCCTTGCAGCCTTGAGCTCTCCCAGGTTCCAGCCTCTCACACAGACTGCTCATGCAAAGATAAATCCCACATGGCCTTCTCCTGAGACCTTCCTAGGGTACCCCTTTGCCCCAGAAGAAGGGTGCCTGCATCCGGAGCAAGCCCCCACCTTTTTTTGTGCTAGTTCTGCTGGCTCCCAGGCTCCCCCTCTACTGTTGACCATTCCTGACATCCTCTCCCTGGACCCATGCCCACCTGAACCCTACTAGGCTGCCTTTCCCAGGGGGTGGAGAGGCCTAGCCTCCTGCACAGCAACCAGGTGATCCTGTCTGTACCATCTCCAAGTCAGTCTGGGGTCTGCAGGTGCCCTCCCCGCCTCGAGGAGGGTGGTCCTCTCTTCCCCCAAACACAGTGTTCAGATGGACAGACAAGCTAACATCTCTGATGCTGGTAGAACAGGGGGTAGGCCTTGCCACTGGACCCTCCGTTCTGGCTTTGGAACCAGACAGATGGACGCAGGCCAACGGTCAATGTACCCTCAAAATGGAGATCCAGCGACTGAAACACAACCCAGGCCCTGAGGCCCCTCCTGCCTGCCACGTCCCCAGAGCAGGGCCAGGCCAGTGGTCGCCACCACCCTTCCCCCATCAGGTCTGCCAGGGCGGGGAGGGCCCAGGCCAGGCCAGTGTGACCAGAGACAGACCCTGGTGGCGAGTGGCTGGCAGGCCCTACCTCTGGATTACAGACGCGGAATCATTCTCCCGTTTCCGGCGCTTCCTCTCCGCGTAGCCCCTGAACACCCTGGGAAACCACCGCGAGTCAGCACTGCCCTTGGCCAGAGGCAGGAGGGACACAGACGTGGGGACAGAGGCGCAAGCAGAGGGCCCAGCAGGGGCATCCAAGGCCCAGTTCCCAGTAGGCCCTGCGGTGGCCCTGGAGACCACTGGAAGCTGGGCCCACGGGGCTCAGCACTCTCACTGTCAAGGCTCAGGTCCCTGGCCTGTACAAACCTACTTGAGGGTGGGAGGGTCCCCCCAGGACAACCACTGTGCCCTTAGGTACAAGTTGTATGGGGGTACTTACGAGATGCTGAAGCCACAGCAGGAAGGGGCAGCATGAGAGAGAAGACACGGTGAGCCTGGACCTGGCTTCCCTCAGCCCCAGGGCCCCTGAAGTTTGTTCCCTTCCTGTCACCAATTGGGAAGGTCCCTCACAAGCACCAGCAGGATACCAGCTGGGCTGTGAGCCAGCCTGAAAAGGCAGTGGAAGCTGAGGCCACTGGGCCTACACCACCAGGCACTAAGCCCCAGTCAGGCTAGGTTGGGGGTGGGTCTTGCCGAGGACTGACGGTGCCCTGCCTTGGACAATAGCTGGAGGGTGGAGATGGGGTGGGGGCCCCTGCAGCAAAGGGACCCATAGGAAGGGAAACCCAGATGTATGTCAGGTAAAGAAGAGCAGACCCCTGGGTGACAATCACCTGTATCTCACTGGAGACAGAGGAGGCTGCCATCTGGGTACGTGGGGGCCAAGAGAACCACCCCACCCACACCTGAGACTGCAGCAGCACTGCAGCCCGGGGCCAGGTCCCAAGAGGACAGACTACAGGGTTGGTGGGGGTCCTGGGGGAGTGGGGGCAAGGAATGGGCAGGGCAGGTGGGAGTTGGACATGAGCTATGGAGTTGGGGGAGCAGCCACCCTGCACCCTGGGACTCGAAGCCTCAGCCCGGCTTGCTGGCAGACCTTGCACAGCATGGTGCAGCGGTTCAGTAGCAGCCCTCCAGCTGGGCCCAGAGGCTAGCAAAGGGGATGAGTATTTCCTGAGCACCAAGGAGAGGTGACCTGGCCCTTGACTCCTGCACCACACATACAACTCACGCTTGCATAGTTGTGGTTGCTGTCTGGAAGCTGAAAAGGTTCTCCTTGGGGAACCAGGTACGGATGGGGACATCATCTGGAAGAGGGAGAAGGAGCTGTGCTGGCACAAGCAGGCCTGCAGCCTGGCCCCACACTGGCCAGCGGGCACCCAGCTCTCTCCCACATGGGAATAATCCCCACACTAGGTTCTGCCCAGCTGTTCACACTCAGAAACTCAGGGGCTTGAGGCTTTCTCTGCTTACTCTCCTTCTGGCTGCCCCAGGTTTGAGAGGCATTCCTCTGAAAGCAGCCTGACTCCAAGGGTGCTCAGAGAAAGGATCTCCCAGGGCCTTCTTGGGAAGGTCAGACTTGCCCCTGAGAGAGTGAGCAGGAGGCCCTTACAGCCCTTCCTTGAAGCCCAGGCATGTCCCACAGAGGCTACTCTGTGGTGTAGAGAGCTTCTCCATGTAGTAAGCCTCTGGGGTTCCCCAGCCCCCACAAAGGTTGACAGTCCTGGGCACCAGACACTTTCCCCAGGACTTCCTGAAGACAGCCTGACCTTGCAATTAAGTCATGCTTTCTGCCTGCTCCTTCCTCAATATCTCCTCATCCTCCATATCCTCCCAGGTGCCCTCCTCCAGGAAGCACTTCTTGACTGACCCAGTCCTGGGAGGGCAAAGCCTACCATGGGCCTAAAAGAGCTTTGCAGAGGAAGTGAGGCAGGCCACAGCCCACAGGGCATGCAGGTGGTGGCATGAGCCCAAGGGCTTCATTCTGAGTCTGCCTGCAGGATGTGACCCAGGCAGCCTCCACCTGTTACCAGCCTCACAGAGCATGCCATCTACATCTGCAGGTGCCGAGGAGCCCCTCACCAGATACTCGATCCACGCTGTACATCCTCTCCAGTTTCTTGCGACGGCCAGAAGCCTCAGGCAGAGGCGGCTGGTCTAGCCCAAAGGCTTGAGGGGAGGGCCCAGGGGCAGGTTGGGCACATCCAGGACACTCTTTGGAGCCCTGTCGGCTGCCTGCCCAGCTCTGGCAGGGCCTGCTGAGGTCCTCACGGCTGCTGCCAGGGCTGGCACGCAGGGGCTGGCTATGGTGGTGAGGGTGCCGCTGCCGCCGCCCCTTCACCACTGCCAGCTCGATGGCCTCGGCCTCAGGGCCAGGCAGCAGGGCTGGCTCCCCAGAGATGGTGTACACTCGGGGCTGGGGGCCCTCAACAGCTGGCTTCCCACCACCAGCATCATCTGAGAGGCTACCCTCAAAGCGGCCATTGGAGACCAGGGAGAGGCGGCGCTTGTTCTGGGGGGCTGGCTGCATCTCGGGGGATCCGTCGTGGCCAGAGTAGGCATCAGCCAGCAGGTGATCTAGGGGAGAGGCAACGAGTGAGCATGCAGCCTGCTCTAGTCTCCCGGCATGCCAAAGGCAAGGAACACCCAGCAGGCACCTGACCTGATGTAGGGGGCTCTGGCTGCTGGAACCCGGTCCCTGCTGCCTTCAGAATAGGTGTTTACAAGCCTCCCTCTCCTCCTATCTAGGTCTGAAGCTTTTGTGTGCGTGTGTGTGGGGGGCGGTGACAGGCCTTGCTACCTGTGCCTGATCCTGGGGGATAGGAACAAGCAGCCCCCCCTCCTGCCTGCAGTAGTTTGCAGAGTGCCAACTTCTCCCCTCCCCCCCACCAGCTGGCCCCAGGAGACAGTGGTGCCAACCCTGGGGGTGCCAGGAGGCCTGTTGCCATGCCAACGGCCCAGGCTGGGTGGGTGTCATGGTGATGAGTGATCAGAGCTCCTCCTGGGGCTCTGGGCCAGGGAGGGCAGGGGATGTGAGGAAGTGGAGCAGGGCTTGGCCTAGGCAGGGGACCTCGGGCTCTCTGCTGGCACTGCCTCACAAACCCCCTACCTGCACCGTTGCGGTTCTCAGGGTGACTCTGGGACAGGTACTCTCCAAACGCTCGGGCTGCTCTGCAGGGTGGGCAGAGTGGGCAAGGTCAGTGCCCATAGGCCCATTCTCAACTCTGGCAGTTCGCAAGACCCTCCCAAGCAAACACGATGCTCCCACCCCCCACTTAGGCCCTCCATCGCCAAGGGGGCTGGCGCTCGGCTCCGCCAGCGAGGGTCACTGCCACGCATCTGCATGCTGTCAGTCGTGAACCCGAGGCCCACCCGGAACCTGGGCGCACCGGCCCGAGCTGCCCAAGAGACCGCGTGGGAGGGGCTGAACCTCCGGGGGCCGGCCTGGCCGGCGCACTCACCGCACTTTGGCCGCCACCGAGGACATGGCCTCGCTCCTCAGGGCCCTCCTCCTGGAGGCGGCGGCGCCCATGGTCGCGGCGGCGGCGCATCCCCCGGGCCTCAGAGCGCGCCCCGCGCCCGCCGCCTCCGCCGGGGAAGCCGCGCCGCGCCGGGGGTCGCGCTTGCGCCTAGGGTCGGGCTCAGGGTCGCGCAGGCGCTTGGGCCCGGGCCCCGCATGGCCGCGCCGGACACTCCGCGCGTCCCGCCGACCGGGAGAGAGCGAGCTGCGGAACCGGGGCGGAGGCTCCGCCCAGTGACGTCAGGCGGGGCGGGACCAGACCCGGCTCCGCCCCGAGGCGTCACGAGACCTGGGCGGGGTCTTCGGAGCCTGGAAGCCTGGCACCTGGAGTCCTACTCTGGTCCTCTGTAGGGCCTGGTGCTCCTCTCCACGCCCCGACTTGGCCACCGTGTGTTCTAGGGGCGAACAAGGCCTAAAGGGCCCGAGGGACTTCACTTTCGTTTTGGGGGACCCGAGTTCCATTCAAACCCTGAGCGACCTTCCTGGCCAGCCTGGAAACTGGTGTCCTTTGACCACGGCTCATCCTCCCCTACCGCCCCCTCCTGATGGAATCAGGCCCATCTTGGTGTTTCTCTGCCACAGGGACTTTGGCACCTAGAGACAAATCCACACAATCAGATCTACCTTTATTAACATGCCAATCTGGGGTTCCCACACCTCACAGAAACTTCATGGGGGATGGCGGGAGGCTGGCTCATCTCCCCAGGGGTGCAGGGGTGCCAGTGCAGAAAAGAGGCACAGAGGGTGCAGAAAAGAGCCCAGGCTGGGGGTAAAGACTTGACAGGCTGGCCAGCTGGCTGAGGCTTCTCTTGTCAGGTGGGTAAAGTGGCCTCCCAGGAGTGGGTGGAGCCTCAGTCTTGAAGTCAGGCTCCCAGGAGATGCTGGATTCTGGGGAGCATCAGAGCAGCGGCTACTCTGCAGTCTGGCCAGGGAGCCAGGAAGATGAATTGTCCTGGGGTTGTTGTGGGGAAGCCAGGCCAGGGTGCGGATGCTGCAGCATGGGCTCTCCCTCCTGGAAGCAAACTACTCAGTCAGGGTGCAAACCGGCTGGCTGCCACCCAGGAGGGTTGATCCTGGGCCACATCACCTGTGTGGGCAGCAAATCCAGAGCCAGGACTCTAAGGCCGGCCCCTGCCTGGGGCCTTGAGAACAGGCCCAGCCAAAGGGGCACTAGAAGGACCCAGCCAGCCTCTCACCAAGTCAGAGCCCAGCTCTGCCTGGGTGCTCTGGAAGTCCGCGTATGTGTCCTTGGGGATTTCTGGCATCTCCTCCTCATACTCAGTCTGGTAGTCAGATTCGTCTGGAGCAGAGAGGAGGGCCTCATTGGTCCCCTTCCTAAGGACAGGGGCTGTGTCTGCCACAGCTGAAACTCAGGCAGAATCTAGTCGTACAGCCTAGCCTTTACTCAGAGGCAAAGGTGCGCATGCAGACACCCACCCTACGTCTTCCAGAGGGAGCTGCTGCAGATCAGGCCCTGTGTACACACCTGGCTTTATTTTCAGCTCCAACCCAACACTTGAAGGGTCTTCCACAAAGAGCTCTTCACCCACTGTCAACCCGGCAAGCTACTCATGAGAAGCCTGGGCCCTCGCTCAGCCTCATGAGCAGAGGCTTCAGCCAGAATACAGGCAGCTTAGAGTCTGGGGCTTTCTGATCCTCGTAGCCACAAGGGCCTCTCGGGTCCCCCTTCAAGATAAGGCATGCCATTCTGCTACAAGTAAAGCAGCTGGCCCCCGGCCTCTAGCCCTCAGCCTCCAGCCCCAAGTGCAGGGCCTAGACTGGAGCATGGTGAATGCTGGGCCCACCCTCTGGCTTAGTGGCTCCACCCAGGCCAGCCCTCCCTGCTGAGGTATGGGGCAGGTGTGGGAGAGGCCTGGGAAGCCTGGCGGGGGGAACTGTCTCATTACTGTGGGGACCCTCTGCCAGCCAGAAGCTCTTGGAGTCTTAAGAGAATGGTGTGTGACTACATGAGGGCAGGGGTGGAGACCTGTGGGGTGCTGAGGCCCAGCCAGTGTCAGCAGGCCACCCTCTGTTGTGCAGGCCCACCGCCTGGGTGACCAACTCACCATCCACTGTGGCCATCTTGGCAGGCTCAATGCGGGACACGATCTCAGCAAGGTCCGTGAAGGAGGCATTGGGGCAAGTGGGGATCTGGAGTATAAGGCACAGGATGGCCACCTGCCTGGCATACATGCCTACCACACAGCTGCCCTGGAGGGACAATGTGGGCCCGCCCCAGGCACTCTGCCAGCTCTTCCCTGCCACAGCCCCCCTTGCCCTCTTCCTGTGGGGAGACCCCTGCCCTCTCACCACACAGGCCTTCCTCTTGCTTGGCCCCTGCCTGTCCTGCAGCATCTTCTCTAGCACTCCACTTCGAGCCCAGAGGCCAAACACTGTCCGCCCGTGTTGGTAACCTACTTCCTGCACACACAGTGGGCAGTTATGAGGTACAGGAGCCCCCACTTCCCGTGCTCTCAGGAGGCTGGGGAGGGAACAACCACCAGAGCTTGCCCCCACTGACACTTTGTTTCTGTGGCCAGTGGCTGACACTTACACAGATCTCATCAAACTTGCCAAAGTCCAGGGTACGATAGCTGTCGATGGGGGGCCGCAGGCACTCGCAGTAGTCACAGTTCTTCACCATCTCCAGCTGCCGGACGCAGCAAACGTAGGCCAGGCGCGTCTGAATCTCAGCCATGTTCAGCACCTGCAGAGTCATGCCCAAGACTCCTGCCCCGGTCCCTTCCTCCCAGTCCTTTCTGGCCCAGGCCCAGGCCCAGAACAGGCCCTGAGCTGGCCTGGAAGTGTGTTCTGGCGGGCTTCCCCAGGATTGGCCCCAGGGCCTAGGCAGGGGTGGGAGTGACCCAGGCCTGCAGGACTCAGCCTGGGAGGTATTCCACAGCCTGCTCATAGGTGGAGGGCATAGGCTTAGAAGCCACCTGGCACCACCCCACCTTGACTTTGGTGGCCAGGGGGTTCCACCGTTTCCACAGCAGCCACCACCCAGAGAGCGCATCGCCATAGTTGGTAAGGTCTGTCTCATCCCGGCTGCCCACGTCGATGGCGATCACCACCTTTGCCCCCATGGATCGGGCCACATCCGCTGGGGAAGAGGAGGCAACTATGGTCACCACCTGGGTCAGGGCACAAGGGGACACCCCAGAACCCAGTGGGACAGGGCCAGACCCCGCTTCACTAAGCCCTAAGGAAAGTGCTGCTCACAACTAGGCCTGTGGAGACAGGAAGCCTGTGTGCCTCAACTTTGTGGCAGCCAAACTGTGTCGGGGGCCCTTCTGAGCACACGTCTAACAGGTGGCAGGTGGAGCCTGCCCAGCACAGTCAATACCTGCGGGCCATTAGCGCCTGGCTGTGGGTGCAGATGGGTCTTAATTGCTCTTGGTGTGTCTGCCTGGCCATTGTCCCGTGCACTGCTGAGCTACAGGCAGGTCCATATGCTGGGAACACACCGTGCATGCGTGTGCCTGTGCACAAGCTTGTGTGTTCTCAGGACTGTGACGCCAGCCTGACATTCTCCTTTGGCATACTCCAAGGAAAACGTGTGCCACCCCAGCCTTCCTGGTGTGGAGGCGGCCTTGGCAGACAGCCATGAGCAGAATGAGTGACCGAGTTGCTGAGTGCCAGCGGGCAGGAGCCCCAGCCCTCTGCAGTACCTGGGAGGTTGTTGATATAGCCTCCATCCATCAGCAGGTGTCCGTCCTTGGGGTCGCAGAGGGGCGGCATGTAACCTGACAGGGACATGCTGGCACGCACATACCGCCACAGAGAGCCTAGGGAGCCGAGAGGGTCTAGTGGGGGAGGGGCCAGGGAGGAGCCTTTTGCCACCCACTATGGGTTCCTGTCCTGGACTTCCCCTTGGATGGGCCACAAGCCCACAAGCCCCCATCTCCAGGGGTCAAGGGTCAGCAGATGGACCCCTCATCCCTGAAGGGACTTGCAACAAAAAGGGTAGGCAGTGAGGGTCCAGGAGGATACAGAACTGAGGTCTTCCTCTGGGTCTCTGTGAATACATCACTCTGTCTGGCTCTTCCAATAACTACTGGGCCCTAAGCTCCCTGTGCCCAAGTGTGACCATCCCTCACTCTTCCCTATAGAGCCCTTCTGTCACCTGGACACCCTGATTGCCACCTGCCCTGCCCCTCCTGTCCAAGGTGCCCTCCCTGTGCAGACCTGCCTGCGCCTCGTCTCCTTGGTGACCACACAGAGCTGCTGGCTCTCCTCTTGCCCATGCTCCCATGGCTGCCTGCTCCCCTGGGCCACTGACCCACTTGGGCTGGCCCTGCAACTCCCTGATCTAGAGATGGCACTCACCATCTGTGTGGACCCGCATGGCAGAGGCTGTGATGTCGGTGGTGACAGCGAAGTAGGGGAGCCACAGGTCCTGTGGGGAGTACAGGGCTCAGGGGACCTCAGGGATGCCCTACCCATGTTAGGAGGAAGAGGAGGGCACTGAGGGTGAACGACCAGTGCCAGCCAAGAGTGGCATGGCTCCCAGGGCATCCCTGGGAAAGCACCTCAATCTGCCGGTCCCTGAAGATGCTGCAGATGCTGCTGTTGAAGCCTGCTCCAGAGAACATGGATGTGATCGGGTAAGTCAGGTCCAGAATGGTTTTCACCACTGATGTCATGTCCTGGGAAGATGAAGGTCTCTGCAGAGGGGCTCACGCCTAGGTCTGCAGGACCCTCTCTGGAGCAGGATATGGGCACACAGGTGTGCTTCCAGCAACAGAACATGGGTGTCCAGGCATGTCCTCAGACCCAGGCTGCCTGGATTCTTGGGGGAGCGATACTGTGGGCATGCAGTAGTAGAGAATCTGGGAACCAGCCCCACATCCTCTGGCCCTTCCTGGCCATAGGCAGGCTTTGCCAACTTGGCCCTTGGGGGCTTCACAGCACACTTGTTCCCTGGGCTCCAGGTCTGCCTGCAGTGTGGGAGTAGCAGGTGGAGTGGGCAATGTCAGGAAGAGCTCAGGCCCAACTCCTTATCTCACTGAGGTCCCCAGAAATGGCATATGACCAGTGAGATATGGGAGCTGATCCCACCCTCGCCCTTGCTCTGCTGGTGGCTCTCTGGGTGGGGCCAAAGCACTGAGCACTACTGTGACTGGCCCCACTGGAGAGCACCTGGTCTCAAGGCCAGGGAGGGAGTAAAAGGCCCTCCCTGCTGCTGTGTGCAGGGTGCCTGGTTCAGACGTGACACGATGAGCCCAGGGCCTGACTAGCATCAGAAGCCCCTGTGCTCACATCACCACATGAAGACTGTCCTTTAAGGCAAGCAAGAGAGCTGGAGCTCCTGGACAAGGAACTGGTGCCCAAGACCTGGGTCCACTCCTGAGGAAGTCCCACTGCCACCCCATCTCCTCATTATAGTGCAGCTGGGCACATGGCTCTATCCCACCCTGCCCAGAGATGGCTCCCTGTAGGGTGGCAGCCCTGGCAGGGTTCCACAGACCAGCATACCCTCAGGATGGTGGAAGAACCATTCCCATACCTGGTCTCCAGTACCAGACTTGCAGAGGGGGGTAATGGAAAGGATTTCCTGCGGGCTTGAGCCTGTCTCCCCCCAAGGGACTAGACCCTTGCTAAGTTATCTTCTGCCCACTGCACACAATGTCCTGTGGTCAGTGCTCTTGAAGCCATCCCTAGTAATCGTTGCTATCTCTTTTGAGTGGCGTTTGAGGAGTGACTGGGGAACTTATTTCAGGGAAGAACCATTTCTTGAATGGGGAGCCCCACAGCAGGGTCCTTGGGGGCCTGGTGGTGGGGACAGTGGCATCCCCAGGACTCGTCAACACAGCAGATGACCTAGTCCAAGAGCTTATGCCTGGAAGATGGACAGTTTTCTTCCCTTTTAGAAAGAAGAACACAAACAGTTTTGATCCCACACATGGCTTCAACAGGGCTTAACTGTCTTGAAAGAAGAGGCATAGCAGCAGAGAACCGCAGAGCCAACCCACTGCAGAGCTTGAGCTATTCTGCTTCCTCTGATTCTACACTGGGTATTTTGATTCTGGTGCCCATTTAAAACAAGGCCAGACTCAAGGCTGGAGCTGTTTATGTCCCTCTGCTGGGCAGAGCTCATTCCTGGCCTCTCCTTCATCCGACTCACACCAACTCCCCTGCCCTAAATCACCCAGATCCAGGTACTAAGCCCCCAGGGCTGCTGGAATGACCCCCTATTGGTCCTAAGCAGCTCACCTACCTGTGCTATAGAAACCAGGCCTGGGCCACTTTGTTCCTTTCTGCTCCTGAGTGGCCCCAGTGCCCTCCTGCCTCACTCTGCCCTGTGTGGTGGGCTGTGCCTCTTTTCTTCAGGGACTGTGGGCAATACCCGCTCTCCCTCCAGTGGCAGAGGCCTTTCCTTGCTGTCCCTTTCCTTGCTGTCCCTTCCCACAGCAGCAGTGTCTTTTCCTACACTCTTCCTTTGTCCCTCAAACCTGTGGGGCTGTTTCCTAGAGACCTGGTTCGGGAAAGGTACCCACTTACCTCAGCCCACTGCTTGGCCCGAATCCTCATCTGGCTGTAGTTCCTCTCTTCAGAGTACAGGGCACCCATGAAGGCCCCAATGGATGTCCCTCCAACCATGTCCACGGGGATGCTGTACTCTGCCAGGGCCCTGAGGATGCCCACCTGGGCGCAGCCCCTTCACAGCCAGGAGCATAGAGAGGAAGTAAGTGCCATCACCAGTTCAGCCCCGCTATGTCCCAGAGAGGACCAGAGGTGGCTGCTTGCAACCCACCCACTCCTCCTTGTCCCTACTCTTGCACAGGTCACATAGATGGGCAATGATGCTAATGCAGAGAGGGAGGCTGGAGGTAATTTAAGACCCCCAAGGAGACGGTGGGGATGGGATGAGGGAGGACAGGTTACAGGAGAGCCGGTAGGTATGTGGCCTCTTCACCTGCAGACACTTGCCACGCCAGCAAGGAGGGCACTGCAGAGATGGTAAAGTGGAACAGGACTCTTGCCAGTCTCAGGGGTGAGGAAAGGTGGAGTTGAGGGACCCCTGGAAATGAGAGGTCCTGAAAAGCACCCCGAGGGCCAACCCAGGAATCAGAGCAAGTTGGAAATGGACCAGCCCTCCCAGAGGCGAGGAAGCCAGCTTCTGATCACTTCCAGCCCCGGCTGGACTTGTCACCCAGAGCCTGCACTTGTCACTGCCATTTCCATGCAGGAAGTCTACTAGCCACATGAAGAGATAAACTACCTGGCCACAAACCATGAGGAAACACAAACAACAGAAGTGGCCCAGAGGGAGCCCAGACAACCGAAGTATCAGGCACTGGGTTTTAGAATGATGGTGCTTGAAGCTCCGCCCCCCCCCCCGCCCCCCCCAGGAGCCAAAGGTGGGAACTGCTACAGTGGAGAACAAAAGGAAGGAAGTGCATTTGTAGCATGTGAGCTGGTGCGGCTGGTGAGAAGGAGACCACAGGGACAAGGGGTGCATGCTGCCACGCACATGAGGGACCAGGAACAGGCAGCTGCATGGAGAGGAACCAGGAGATGAGGGGAGAGGGCAACGGAAGCTGGCGCTAGTGGGCTGAGTCTGTTGGTGGGATAAAAGTGTTCTGGATGGTGCTGACAGCTTCACAGCCACATGAGTGTCCTTAAGTGTGCACTCAGAAAGGGCAAAAATGAACACATGTGAAAATTAAATACTCAAGTACAACTACAAAAAGAGTGTAGGATGGGCATGACTGACAATTTGGACACAGAATCAGAAACTAAATCAAATGGTGATTCTAGAAGTAGAAACTAAGAAGAACTCAGTGACTGAACCTAATAGCAGACTAGACACAGCTGAAGAGCGTGATGTGACAGTTAAGAGGAGCAGAAGAAAATGCCCACTGGCTCACAAAGCATCAAGAGGATGGGATGTGTAAACTATTCCTTCAAAAAACAGGCACAGGAGCTTCAGAAGCAAAGGATCTGGCACAAAGTTCTAATTTATGTGCAATTCAAGCCCAGAGAGCAAAGAAAGTGGGGACAGAGCAATATCTGAAGAGATGATGGTTGGGCAGTTTTAGAACTGATGGCTGCATCAAGACTCACATTCAGGGGCTGGGGCTGGGGCTGGGGCTCAGTGGTAGTGCACTTGCCTGCATGTGTGAGGCACTGGGTTCAATTCTCAGCACCACATATAAGTAAATAAAATAAAGGTCTATCAACAACTGAAAAGATATTTAAAAAAAAAAAGACTCACATTCAAAGAGCATCATAAACCCTAGGCTCAAATCCAAAGATAACTGTGCCTGCACTGTTGAAAACCCAAAGCAATAAAAACCATATTCAAACCAGACTGAGGGGGAAAAATAAGACAAGGGTTTGGGATGTGGCTCCATGATGGAGCACTTGCCTAGCATGCACAAAGCCCTGGCTGCAATCTCCAGCATGGCAAAAGAAAAGGAAAGACACCTTGCCATCAGAGGTGCAGTAAAAAGAGCTCGCTCCTTCATACTTTTGTGATTATGACAAAGACCATACACTTACCATCTGTTCCTTTATGACAATGTCTGCTGGCCCATAAGGTAGGAAAAGAGAATAAATTAAATAAAAGAGTGAAATCAAAGAAATAATACAGATAAGAGCAGAAATTAACCAAAATCCAAACACACAATAAAGATGTCAACAAAACCAGAAGTGAGTGCTTAGAAAGGACAATCAGTGGGAGATGAGGGGGAAAGGGAGATGAGGGAGGGAAGCAATGCCATCAGGAAGAGGTGCATCCCACAGGTGCTGTGGTTGAGGAGAAGCGACTGGGCAGCTTCACAGTGGGAAAACTCAGATAAAGGGGGCCCGACCCAAGAAAAGCATCACCTACAAAACCCAAAAGTAAAATAGAGAATCTGAAAAGTACTGTAAATATTAAAGAAATGGGATATTTAACTTGTAAATACCCACAGAGAAAATTTCATGTTCAGCAGGACACATGCCTGTAACCCCAGCAACTCAGGAGGCTGAGGCAGAGCATTGCAAGTTAGAGGCTAGTCTGGGAAACTTAGTGGGATCCTTTCTCAAATTAAAATCAAAAGGGCTGGGGTATAGCTCAGTGGTAGAGTGCCCCTGGGTTCAATCCCTAGGACTACAACCAATCAAATAAATAAATTTCATATTTCATATCTAAATGGTTATACTAGTAAGTTTTACTATACATATAAGGAAGAAAGAATGCAAATTTTACATCAAACTTTTCAGAGAGCAGGAAAAGAGCCCTTCCTTCTGTGACCTGGGAAGGCAGCAAAGCATGTGGTACTGAGGGAAGCCTGCTCCTCCCAGCGCTGCAGATGCAGAGGGACTTGCCCTGCAGACTGAGCCTGGCACAGCCAGACCCACCCACTGCAGGGACTTGGGTTTGGCTTTTATTTGTGATTCATACTTTAATAGGACAGAGAGGAAGACACAATCACCTCACCAGACCCTGGGTGCCACCATTTGTGACAAAAACTGAGAGCAGAGGGGTTTCCTTGGATTCAGCAAGACCGCCACGGTCTACAGCCAGGATCATGCCAAGTGACAACCAAGCACACCCCAAGGCTAGCACAGACGCTCCCAGGTCCATCAGTCCTGCACTGGAGGCTCTGGCCAGGGCAGAAGGAAAGGGGAGGAATCTGAGCACGTGTACATGGCTGGAGAGGAGGAGGACCAGTGCTCATTCCCAGATAACAATTGCAGGCACAGAATCCAAAAACTTCCACAAAAAAGCTCCCAGAACAAGGGAGTCGAGCAGCTGTGAAGTGCAAGTCCAGCCTAGCTGCATCCTGTATGCTGAAATGACCAGTCTGAAAGCAGAATCCAAAAAACACACTTAGAGTAGCTCTAAAGAAAAGTTAGAAGTGCACTTACCCAGTGACAGCCTGGCCTCCACACTGAGGCCTGGGTGAGGGAGGCGTGCCTGCCAGCGGGAGTCCACCCTGCACAGCTGCCTTTCTCCCCAGAGTGACCCACAGACTGGGTGCATCCCTATCCAAACCAGTCAAAATTGACCACAAAGCCATTTCACTAAGACTGCAGTGCTGCCACTGAGGACGAAACAGGCTCTGCAACAGCGCAGCCCCCACACAGGGCCCAGCAGGTGCCTCTCAGCGCCACAGGGAAGGGAGGTCCTGGCAGACAGCGTGTAGTAGAGACCAACTCCTGCCTCACACCACACACAGAAATTAATTTGAGGTAGATCAAAGGCCTACACGGACAATCTGGAATTGCAAATCTTTTAAAAGGAAAAACAGAATTCCTTTATGACCCTAGGATAAGCAAAACCTCTCAGAATACCCAGAAGTAATAACCATAAAAAAACTGGAAAAAAATCACAATTTATAAAAAATCATAAGGGGGGGGTGGGTAGGAAAGAATGAAGGAACTTTGGATTGTGCAAGAGCAGGGGTGGGGATGGGAAGGACAGGTGAAATGAGATGGACATTATTACCCAATATACCTGTATGATTACTGTGTAGCTCTGTACCATGTACAGCCAGAGGAAGGAGAAGTTATGCTCCATTTGTGTACAATGTGTCAAAATGCATTCTGTTGTCATGTATAACTAATTAGAACAAATTTTTTAAATGAAATAGAAAAAAATTAGAAACAGTTCATTCGAAGATGTCATAAAGGAAATGAAAAGAAAGTCAAAAGCCAAGAGAAATATTAGCAATAAATATATCTGGTGACAGACTTGCAGTCAGAATATGTACAGAACTCATCCAACTCTATGATAAAGGAAGCCTGGTAGAACAGCCACAGAGCCTGGGCAAATACCTCACAAAATAGGATGCATGTGCTGGGCATGGGGGCCACACCTGTAGCCCCAGGACTCTGGAAGCTTTGGCAAGAGGGTTGCAAGTTCAAGGCCAGGCTTAGCCAAACCCTGCCTCAAAAATGAAAATAAAAGGGCTGAGGGCGCAGTTCAGTGGCAAAGCAAGCACCCCTAGGTTCAATCCCCAGAACCAAAAAATAAATAAAAAAGGACGCACACGCATATGGCCAACCAGCACACCAGCTTACAAAACGGAAGCTCCACATCCTGCCATCGGGAGATGCAAATGAGAACCACACAGAGACCACAGCACGCCCACTAGAGTGGCTACAACTGAAAGACTGACAATACCAATGGGTGGCAAGAATGTGGAAAACTGAACTCTCACACATAACTGGTAAGTGTAAAATGGCACAACTACCCTGTGGCCAGGTAACTCCATTCCCAGGCCTTTGCCTAAGAGACAAGAAAACATGTGCCCATGTAAAGAGTGTTATTATCCTTTTGCTCCTAAAAATCAAAAGCAAGAAACAACCTAAATGCCTACCAGAAGAAGGAGGGGTGAAAAAGGAGTGCTCGATGGACTAGTCCTTGGCTCACCACACCTGCACCCGAGGACACAACCTTCACACAGCATGTCACGAGCACAGAGCCAGATATACCAGCTCATGGTGGGAGATGTAAACAGGCAAGCAGAGCCAGCGAGGAGCCTGCCATTGCTTGTCCCAGGGACAGCTGCACTAGGGAGTCAGGAAGACTAGGAAGAGAGATCACTCGGTGTTAGAGTTATTTTAGTGGAAAAATTAATTGGAATATAAAGATGGACAATATGGGAAAGAAAAGGTAAGAGAATTAGAGAATCCATCTAGGATGCCAATACTCGACCAGTAGGAGCTCCAAGAAAATGAAAAAGAAAGAGGTAAACACTATTTTAAAAAATAAAACATAGAACACTTTCCAGAGTTTTTTCTTGGGTGGGGGAGGATAATGGGATTAAACCCAGAGGTGCTCTACCACTGAGCTATAATCCCAGACTGTCCCCTAATCTTTTTGAGACAGGGTCTCACTCAGTCTCTGAAGCTGGCCTTATACTTGCAATTCTGTTGCCTTAGTCTCCTGACTAGCTGGGCATGACACCTGGCTGAATTTCCAAGTTTGAAAGAACCCAATGGGCATCCAGTGTAATGGACAAAAAACACCCACATCAAGGCACATCCCATGTAGCTTCAGAATACCAAGGACCAAGAATGTCCTTCAGTGTTCCAGATTAAAACCCAGGCCTGTGAACAATAGCATGAAACTTCTCAACAGCAATATGCTACAAAGACAATGAAGCCCTGGGAAGTACTTACGGCCAAATCCTACCAAACTATCATGCAAGTATGAGTGTAGGATAAGGTGTCTTCTGAGAGGTAGGATCTTAACATGTTTGCCTCCTATGCATTCTCTAAGAGATCACCAAAACAGGAACATATCAAGACAGAGGAAGAAAGCACAACACAGGAAATGAGCCAAAGGCAGTTCCCAGGGCGACATCCCAACAGCTAGAGAGCAGCCAGCAGAGATGAGGGTGGCGACCCTAAACTGTGCGAGCAGAGGTGGCCTGTTCTGTCTGAGCCTACTAGTGGGTGCCAATGCTTCCAGCAGTGCCTGCAGGTGCACAGCTCACACCAGAAGCTGAGCAGATGCAGGTGCAACAAGGAAAGAGGAGTGATCCCAGAGTGCCCCATGAGAGCCATTTCACAATGAAACAGAAAGTGCCGGCTGAGCCACTGCAGGCTACACGGGGACCCTAATGGGACGAAGGGAGCAGAGCAGACAGATGAGGAGGACGCAGAATAAGAGTGCGCAGGAGGGCCAGGAAGCCAGTCATCTACAACAGCAGAAAGCAGACCATCAGTCCAAAAGGAAAGGAGACAAGCAGATGGTCACAGAATGGGGTAAGTGGGTGTTTCTGGGAACTCTGGATTTGGTGCTGGAGAGGCTGTAAGATCTTTTTTTTTTTTTTTGTCCTGTGCCTTACAGAACCTCATGGCTTCTAAGTGCATTCTTTTTTTAAAAAAAATTTTATTTTTTAGTTGCACTTGGACACAATACCTTAATTTTATTTATTTATTTATATGTGGTGTTGAGGATCAAACCCAGGGCCTCGCATGTGGTACGTGAGTGCTCTACCTCTGAGCCCCAGCCCCAGCCCCAGCCCCATAAGTGCATTTGTATTAAAATGCATTTTCATTGAGATGCTGCTGGCCTGACCTGCAAGCCAGGCCTGAGTCTGGGCCCATCTGCTCCACATGCCTGTTGTCCAGCCCTACAGAAAGGACACTGGCCTCTCCTGGGCCTGACAGTCATGGGTAATCACCCCTCTCCTCTAGCCCAGTCTCCTTGTCACTGGAGTGAGAGTGGGACAAGGGGCAAAGTCACCCCAGGATCCCTGAGATACAATGAACAAAGCACTATCACTTTGCCACAAGGTCAAGTACTGCCAGGAATCAGTACAAGGAGCTTAAGTAGGTGCCTCTGCTGAGTTTCTGGCTCAGAACTGGAATTGCAGGAGGCAGGCGGGTCTCCCAGCAGAACAATCCAAGCCTCCACTGCCCACGACGGGGGGTAGGGGCAGCCAATGCCTGTGCAGTGCTGCCTTCCTTGGGGCTGGGGGTTTGGCACAGTGTGGCACAGTGTGGCTCACTGTGCTCCTTCTGGTTCACCAGAAGAAGGCACCAGCCTGGTCTTACCCCATGATGCCCTGGCTCTACTTCTCTCACTTCAGGAGAAGGTGATAAGGGTCCAACGACCCAGAGTAGGAATGATTTGGGCTAAAAGTCCTTTAAGGAACCTTCAGCCCAAGAACTAAGGAACACTTCACTAGTTCACACATGGATCAGATCCTTACTTCACACTGTGTGTCAAGATAAAAGCAGCTCACCAGGAGCCTGAGGGGACGCTGGGGGAAGAAGACAATAGTTTTTGGAGGATAGGAGACCCAGGTGGCTAAAAGCAAGCAAAGGCTTCCAGGCAAAGACAATCAGAACGAGATACAACACTTCTCCTACTCTACCAGTAACAAGGAAATGGGCAGCTTTGCTGGGCCTGCTTGCAGGAGGTGCTTCATTGGGCAGACCACACCCCTGCCGACCACCTGGGTACTCTCCTGATGGCGGCACAGGCCACCGTGGTCTGCATCTCTTGTCAGTGGTGTGCATGCATGATGGGCACCTGCATGCACAGGGGCAGCAGTACCTGGGCCAGGGACTCACCTCGCTCCCCCTCCTCCAAGCACCAAGGCAATAGCGTTGCCAGTCAGCACCCGTGCCAGGCGGGAGAAGTCCGAGTGCCGGTCTGGGGGTCGCTGGAAGACACGCTCGTACATCTCCATCTGAGAGGGTCAGCACAAGATAGGGGTTTGCGCTGGACGCCCAGTCATGACCCCCACACCTGACTGGTCTGGGCAGACTTCCTTCATTCCTCACCCAAAGTCGTCTCCTTTCCAGGTCATGGCCCCATCAGTACCTTGATGCCCAGGGGCCTCAGAGCCAGCCCAGGCTCACCCAGGGGTGAATGTTGGCAGAAGGCACATGGGTGATCATGAAGGCCCAGAATGGGCAGAGCTGGAGCTCCTTCAGGGGTATCTCCCACAGGCCCTTTTGGTAGAGAGTGCTCTCGGGTCCTGGGCAGGGGTGCAGTCATTAGAATGCTGTCCATTGAGCTTCAGGGGCCGAGTAGGCTGTGGTATATGGACAGCCTCCATACTCCTTTCAACCTGGCCCCTGAGCCCATCAAGCTGAGGATGGCCTGAGGAAGAGGTGTCTCAGGGTTTGTTGTCTGCTTCTGCCCAGGGCTGGGCAGGGCTGACCACACCTTCAAGGCTTTTAGGAGCCTTGGCTGAATGTGAGACCCTCAGGTTCAGCCCTTGACTCCCTCAGGCCTAGCTTTTGGGTTAACTCGTACCCCCAGGCCCCTGATGGCCTCTCTGTGCTATACCTCCACCATGCTGGACTTCCCCATATATATCTGCATGGCACCATAAAATGGCCCAAGGATCCCAAGGTCAAGCAAACACCAACTCATAGCCAGAGTCCAGGAGCAAAGGAGACAAACCTCCTAACAGAGCCCACAGCTCAGCCTCCAGACAGCATGGAGAGAAAGCGGGTCTAGACATCCACGCACTGTGCAAACAGGAGGTCAGGGGAGACGGTGTGCAGGGGCTCAGGAACTTAATGGCAGCCCACCAGGCCTCACCAGCTTGGGCAAGCTCCTCCTAGAGAAGACACGGCGTGGGCAGCAGAGGTGCAGGTGGCCGGAGCACCAGCTCCGCATGTTGAGCCACTCCACGGTGCGGGCTGGCCCTGGACCATCCTCCCTGTGCAGTAGGACCAGCTGCTTCTGGGCACGCACGGCTGTGCTTTCCAGCATCCGCTCCAGCTGGGGAGAGCAGGGCCCAGTCAGCCAACCCAGGCATGCCTGAGGACTGCGGGCAGGATGGAGCTGGGGGCGAGCACAGGGATGCCACGAACACCTGCACTGGAACCACCTGGCCGCTGTCCCACATAGGGCAGGAGGGCTTTAGGAAGGGTCCAAGAGTGGCTCCCTAACTCTGTAACACCTGGGCTGTGACATGGCCTGTCCTGGGGCTGCTGAAGCTCTGACCACAGGGCCTGCCTAACCATGCATGCTGAGTGGTCAGTGCGGCTGTGAGGAGCTGGGGGTGCAAAAGCAGGTGCCTCTTCTTTACACTGCCCCACGAGTGCGCACGGCGCCCTCTGCAGTGATGTGTTTGGCAGCACTCACCCTTCCCAGCGAGCATCGCTCCCTGCAGAAAGGGAACAAACATCAGAGAGGAGGAATTTTTAGCTGTCCCAGGATTATACAGGCCAGAAAGAAGCTTGAGATGAGCACAGAGCAGTGGAGCAGAGGGAGGAGGTGGGGACCTAACTCCAGGGGTGGAGAGGCTCTGCTTCATAACACAGCTGGAGCAGATGAACAGGCTGACAGTGCCTAGCATTGGGAAGGACCTGGAGCCTTGCAGACATGCACAAGGGAGACCTATGAAAGCAACCAGGGCAACAGACCAGTGACATCTGGGAAACCTGAAGATGTTCTTTGTGGTTAGCAGCTTACAGGCACCCTGAAGCACCCTGCACATGGCTGGTGGCTGTGAAATGACTCCACTGCCCACAGGCTGAGAATACATGTGCAGATGGTATGGTGCTCACCAACAAAAAAATAAGAGCCATAAAAATGAGGGGAACAACAGGGAAAAAGCGGGCTGGGGCTGTGGCTCAGAGGCAGAATACTTGCCTAGCATGCGTGAAGCACTGGGTTCAATCCTCAGCATCACATAAAAATTAACAAATAAAATAAAGTCATTTTGTTCATCTACAACTACAAAATAAAATAAAATAAAATAACAAAACATGGAAAAAGCTCATGGATCCCAAGTATTAAGGAAAAGATATATCAGAATTATCTGAAACAGGGTACTCCTCCTACCAGATCTTAAGCCTGTGGAGGAGGGTTTTATACACACAGGCTCCAACTCTGCCAGGGCCACTTGGTCAGGGCTTTGTGTTAAAACCCCCAGAGGATGTGAACACAGTAAAATGTTTCTAAAGCATGGGTTGCAGATTACTGGGTCCTTTCCTAAGTTCTTAAAATGTCTCATTCAAAGGAAAATAGAAGGAGAGTTCTGAGAAGGAACCCCCTAAGTGCTCACCTCACCTACGGTGGGCTCCTGCTCGCCCAGGCCCACAATGAGGATGCAGTCTGCCTGCCGGATGCAGCGCTGGGTCCAGGGTGTGAGCGTGCAGTCTGCCTGGTAGAGTACGATCCGGTGGATGTCCTCCTGCTGCCCCAGCCAGCTGGACAGCCGGTACTCGTGGAGGCTGAGCCAGAGGCAGGCACTTAGCCTCTGGGGACAGCTCCAGAGATCCTTGGCCCTCTGTTAGCATGACCCCTCCCAAATGCAGAGCCAGCCCTCACGCCCCCTCCCTGCCCAGCATTCCCAGCCTGTCCCTTCTTGATGAGAATGAGCTGAGCAGAGGCTGTAGCAGGGCAGTGAATGGGTGGGGTGCAGAACTGGCCATAGGATAAGGAAAGGCCTGGTCCCCTGGTAGGCCCAATGGTGCCCAGTAGTGTGGTTATGCAGGGAACACACTGGGGCATGGGGATGCAGGACACAGGAGTAGTAGGGTGCATGTCTGGATTGCCTGGATTGCTAAGAGGTGGAAGCAAAGGTCAGCAGCTGTCTCTATGTGGGCAAACAGATGCTGGGGGCTAACGCACCTGTCTAGAGCAGCTGAGCCAAGGCGCTGTTTAATGTTGTCACTGGTCAGCAGCAATACTGGACCTAAGAATACAATCACCAATCACAGAAATCTGTCCTGGCAGCCAACTCTGAGGGGACTGGAGTGTTTGCTCTCTGAGGTCAGAGCTCCTGAAAGGCACTGCAGTCTCTCCCACCTCACTGTGAAGAAGTGCAGGTAGAAGCTGCCATTTCCTCTCACCCAGAGGAGACCAGGGGCAGGCTCCCAAGATGGGCAGTTCCTCCATCCCCTGCTGACACGCACGAGTCGAATCTCTGCATCCTTACAACTGTCCTTGCACACACACACATATGCTGGGCAGACACAGCATGCCAGAGCACAGTTCCAGATCAGCAGTGCTGCTCGCTCACCCACACGCAGACGCCATCTTCTCACATCTGTGTCTCTCAAGGTAGGACACTCTGGTTCAGGAGAAGAGCCCACAGAGCACACACTCACTCTGGAAGCTGACTCACTGCATTGTGGCAGTGATGAGGAGCACCTAGGCTAGGTGGAAAAGGACCCGGGAGCCTGATGCTGAGCAGGGAAAGCTGGAAGGACCTCACAGCATGTCCCTCTGATAGGGCACACTGAGCTATCATCACTCCAAACCAGCCTTCCTCCAAGTGAGCAATCAAGATCTAAGTAGTGAGAGTGCTATGCATACATAAATATGCGTCCACACGTTCTGAGACAGGCTAAGTTGCCCAGACGGCCCTGCAAGCGATCCTCCCACCTCAGCCTCTCCGTAGCTAGGATGAGAGACATGTGTGCAGCACCTGGCAGCTGTTTCATATTTTAACCTGCATATGTTTTTTAGAGGAACACAGAGTAAGGTCCTTATAGCTGGGAGGGCCTCTGAGATATGGCTATCACTGCTCTGAGTTAATGTGTAGCAGTAGCCCCTCAGGTGGCTCAGGCAAGGGGCTGTGGGTCCTAGAGGGGCCGCATGCCCTGGCTTGCAGGTTGGAGCCAGGAGCCCCAGTCAGGAGCCACAGTGGAACATCTCCTTGCCATCCCTACCAGGGTGCCAGAGTGCCATGGGGTGGTATTTTCTCAACCTGGATGGTAGTGCCAGGTAGGACCATACATCTTGGTGCCAGGAGGCCTCTCAGTACAAGACAGACAGGTTGTGTCTGGCTGCAGGGACAGAGGTGTAGTCCACCAGGACTCAGGCCAGGCCCCACTTGCCCTTGTGTATTTCCATTGTGGGTGGAGCCCCCACAGGCAGTGCTTTAGGCTCTCACAGCAGAGGCCTAAAGCACTGTAGCACCTGCTGACCTAGACTGTGCTGACTAACCCATTCCTGAGAGGGGCCGGTGACGCCCTGATCTGTTCAGATGGAGGCAGGGTTCTCTCTCCTGGAGAGCAAAGTGTGGCCGTGTCCCTGCAGGGGGAGGCAGGCCCTGGCCTCTTGGAGTTCAGTCTTCTGAAAAGCAGAGGCTTGCCAGCACCACGGTCTCCAGAGCAGTGCAGTGCCTGAAGCTGGAGCCGGCAGGCCTCTGCTCAAGTCTGCTCTGGCCTAGAGAGCACTGCCAGCTGGCTTACTTGCCCGTCAGCCAGAGGAAAGGAAATGACATCTCAGCACAAGAAGAAAACACCTCTCGGACTGAAGTTTTAAAGCAGGAACACCCAGGAAGCACGTGCCCCAAAGGTGGCCACACCACTTCAGTGAAAGGTGACACAGCCAGCAGGGCTGCGTGAGGGTTCCGATTCAGCCCAACACTGCAGGACAGTTCTCCAAGTGGCCTGGACCTCCCCAGTTCTCCTCTTCCTCACTTGGGTTCTCAAGAATTCAGAGGGCATGGTAGGGGAGCAGCATCCTAAGACAGCTAGGGACATGTTAGAACAGCTGGGCTCTGTTTCTGTCCCTATAAACAGGATGTCCTCCAACGATCTAGCCCAGTGAGTAGTCCTGTCTCCTGGGGTATGAGACCCCAGGTAGGTGGCTTCCCAGGGTCCCAAGCAGTTCTCAGCCTTGGGACCAGCTCACAATGAATGCTAGACTTCTGTTATCCCTGCTTCTACCTGCAAGTATAAACCAGCATGTGTGAGGGTCCCACCTCAGCCAACTCAGACCAGCTCACAACCAGGGTGCAGGCAGCCTCTTTGCCATTGTCCCTAATGGAAACAGGAGTCTTACTTCTGCCTAATGCATAACCAAAATGAACCCCAGGCATATCGTAAAGTTAAAAATAAAGGCTAAACAATGGAGTTTTTGGAATATCTCATGATTTGAGGGCAGAATGACATTTTCTTCAATAAAACACAAAAAGAAGTAACTATATAGGAAAAAACTGGTCTGAATTAGAATCAAGAATTTCTGTTTGGGGCTGGGGATGTGGCTCAAGCGGTAGCGCGCTCGCCTGGCATGCGTGCGGCCCGGGTTCGATCCTCAGCACCACATACAAACAAAGATGTTGTGTCCGCCAAAAACTAAAAAATAAATAAATAAATATTTAAAAAAAAAGAGAATTTCTGTTTGTAGGGATTGGGGTTGTAGCTTAGTGGTACATCACTTGCCTGGCATGTGTGAGGCACTGGGTTCAATTCTCAGCATCACATATAAACAAATAAAATAAAGGTCCATTGACAACTAAGAAAAATAAAAATAAAAAATTTCTGTTTATCAAAAGACACAATTGAAAGACTAAAAAGCAAGCCACACCTAGAAATAGACCCACGTAAATACAGTCAACAGATCTCTGACAAAATATCAAAGCCTGCACAGTGAGAACAGATGTGGTGCTGCAGCAGCAGCATGTGCAGGCACGGACCTCCCGCCCTTTCAGAAAGGAATGGAGGCAGACCACAGAGCCAACGTCCAACACAGCACTCAAGGTATAACCCATGAAGTCAGTAACAACAGCTGCAATTCCATAATGTAAAACTTCTGCTCTGCAAGGGTCAGAAAAGAGAATGAAAAGGAAAGACACAGATGGAAGAAAACATCTGCAAAGACATATCTAATAAAGGACTGTTATCTAAAATACACGAGGATGTCTTACATCTCAATAATATGAAAATAGCTCTCTCACTCAAGATGGCCCACATTCCCACATTACCCTTGAATGTGTATTCCTTGCTTTCCCAAGTAAATTTATGTGCCTTTACTAAGAAAGAAAACAACCAAATTAGCTAGGCGCAGTGGCACACACCTGTAATCCCATTGTCTTGGGAGGCTGAGACAGGAGGATCGCAAGTACAAAGCCAGCCTCAGCAAAAGTGAGGTGCTAAGCAACTCAGTGAGACCCTGTCTCTAAATAAAATACAAAATAGGGCTGGGGATGTGGCTCAGTGGTTGAGTGCCCTGGAGTTCAATCCCTGGTACCAAAAGAAAACAACCAAATTAGAAAATGGGCCAGAGATGAGAAAGATACCTAACCTAGTGAATGTCAAAGTTTGGGCGTCCCCTAAAAGCTGCTGTGCTTATGCAGGAATGTTCACAGGTGAAACAACTGAGGCTGTGACAGCTGTAACCTCATCACCCCTCCTAGTGTGAGTGGATTGACTGGGTGGGGTCTGGGCCGATGGGGTGTGTCCTAGAAGGATGTAGCCTCCCTGCAGCCCCCAGCCCCTGGCCCTTTCCCTCACCCACCCCCTGTAGCCTGGCTGCCACAAGCTGAACAGCTTTCCTTCACCACCACATCCTTCCACCTTCTCACCTTGGGCCCAGAGCAGTGGAGTCAGCCATCTATGGACTGAGACCTCTGAAACATGAGTCAAAATAAACTTTTCCTCTTCTAAGTCGTTCTTGTTGGCTCTTTTGGTCACAATGACTAACACACCAAATAGAACTACAGATGAAAAGTAGGCACATGAAAAACACCAATGTGGTGTGTCAGAGAGAAATGCAGGGACACAACCAGAGTGGCCCAGAACTAACCCTGGCACTCCACGTGCTGGCGCAGACCTGCACTCTCTGCAGGGGGGATGCAAAGTAGCACAGCTACTCAGAAAAGACAGTTGGTTCTGCTTACAAAACAATGATCCAGCAGTCACACTCCTCAGTATTTACACCAAGGAGCTGAGAACATGCCCACACCAACCCTGTGCATAGTTGCAAAACCTAGAAGCAGCCGAGCTGCCCTTGAGGAGGTGAATGCATAAACAGGCAGTGGGACACCGATCACACCGAAGAGACATGAACTATCAGGCCATCAAGACATAAGGCAACATAAATGCATACCACTAGCCAAAAGGTGCCAAGAGGGTCACATGTGACCCACCTAAGAGGCAACACTGGGTGGATAGTGGAAAGACGATTGGCTGCCAGGCCTTTGGGTAGGACGAATGAGTAGGCAAAGCACAGAGGGTGCATGGGGCAGTGAGCCCATCCCGAGGACACAGACACAACAATGGGGGCACACAGGATCCACCAAGTGCAAGCCCTGTGTGGGCCATGTGCTCCAGACAGTGGTCACGTGACAAGATCCAAGTCTATGGGGGTGCTGAAAGTGGGGCAGGCTGTGCCTTCCTCTTGATTTTGCTGTGAACCTAAAACTCATACAAAAACCAAACTCTATTTAAAAGGGGTAGGAGTTCCATCCCCCATTCCACAGCCTCAATTAGAAAATAAGCAAAAGGGACTGGGGTGCTGCTCAGTGGCAGTGTTTGCCTAACACAGCAAAGCCCTGGGCTCCACCCCCGGATCTGGGAAAGAAAGTAGAGAGAGGGAGGAAAGAGCAAGTAAGAAGAAAAGATGAACAGACACCTCACCAGAGAGGACACAGAGACAGCAAATAAGCAAACAGAAAGTACTCAGCATCACTACCTGCCAGGGAGAAGCCACGCGCCTGGGAGAAGGGCTGACACGAGCAGCAGGGCAACCTCAAGGCTGGCAAAGATGCAGGTTCCTGTCCCTGCTGATGGGATGCAGGATGGCGCAGCCATCTGGGCACACAATGGAACATACTCAGGGTACCCCTCACGCTCCTGGGCATTTATCCTGCAGAAAGGAAAGCTCACCTGCACACGCAAGCTGTTAGCAAGTGGTCCCAGTAGCTTTATTCAAAATACCCCTGAACTGGACACATCACCACACAGCCTTCTGTGGAATGGCTAAAGAAACTGGAGCATCCACACAATGGACAGTTCTCACAAGAGAAAGAAAGCTGATCTCAAAGGCCACATGCTGAAGAGTTCCATTTTTATAACAAAACTTCAGAAAGGGAGGGCAGGGGAGGCCAGTGAGCAAGGTGACCAGAGAATGGGGGCAGCCCAAAGGGTCTCCTCAGTGACCAGCAGACTGGCACTGCTGCAGCACTCTGCAGAGACACGAATCCGACCATGGAGCTCACGAACGCCAGCCTCCTGGCCCTGGAGAGGCTCAGGTGCTGAGTGAGGCCGTGAGCTGAGGTGGGGCCTTTGGGAGACGAAGGGATCTCAAGGCCTCCGAGCCCACAGGAGATGAGCACCGTGATGGGCTCACAATCCATGAGCTTGGGGAAGAGCTTTGCTATAGCGTGAGCTCTCCTCTGCTTTCTGGCCACCGCGGGGTGAGCGTTCTGCTCTCATGTGCTCCCTGACACGACCTTCTTTCTGCCTCACCACAGGCCCAGAAACAAAAGAGCCAGTGATCATGCGCTGAGACCTCTATATCATGAACCAAAATAAATCTTTACTCTTTTAAGTTAATTTTATCAGGTATTTTTCTCAGAGCGACAGAAACATAACTATGCCATTATGTATGGTGTTACCACTGGGGGACGTTGGCAACAAGTATGTGGGATCTTACCGTGCCATTTTGCCATTTCTTGTGAATCTATAATGATTGTAAAATAAAAGCTTTTTTAAAAAAAGGAATGTGCTTTCCCGAAGCAACACATTCCATGTGCAACCTGAAGACAGTCTAGCTGCATTCTGAGCAACCTGATCAATCTACTGGAAATGACAGGACTTCCTACACACATCCACAACACTGGTGAGGCAGAAATCAAGACTATAAGACAAGGCAGTTCTTGTTTATGTGTTTAAATTCTTCATTTTGAAAAAATAAGAATAATTTTTAAAAGTTCACTTGGAGAATAACTTTTAGATATTAGATATTTAAAGTGGCATCCTATAGATGTTTCTGCTGGCATTTACTTAATGTGTTCTATAATTAAAGTCTGTACCAGGCAGACAGCATTTCTGCACAGTATTGAAATAGATACAATGTAGTCACAATATATTATTTTATGGTAATCAAACAATCCTGATGGGGTTTATTATTATATCTTCTTGCAGAAACAACCCTGTAACTTTCAGTTTAATCCCACCACAGATAATTGACTTCGTATCATTGTGGTCACCACGATCACATAAAAACTCAGAAGAAGCCAAGCAGCATGGTCACTCCTGTAACCCCAGTGACCTGGGAGACACAGGCTCCAGGACTGCAAGCCTGAGGCCAGTGTCAGCAACTTAATTGAGTCCCTGTCTCAAAAAATAAAAAGGCTTGGGCACGGCTCCATGGTAGAAACTTGGCTAGCATGGCAAGGCCCTGGGTTCCATCCCCAGCACCAAAAAACAGTGCCAAGGAGAACACAACAACATGGAGTACCTTATAAATCTGGAAATTTCCAGGAGTTCTTGGAAATTTGCATTCTCCCTTTCTTGAGTCCCCAAATTCACCAGCTGTTAGGAATTTGCCTGTTTCTGAAGGACAATGGTCCCTGGATTCCATCCCAGGTATGACAGACCCCCAGTGCTGGCTGAAGAGTGGTAGATTTGTCCTGAGCAGCCAAGCTACCTGAGCCCAATCAAGGGCGTTTTCCACAGTCAGTCAGCTCCCTGCCACCCACCACAGTGTCTCCTCCCAGAGATGGGGGGTTGTGGGGGACAAGGAAGGCATCCTGGGGTCTGTGCTGAGGACTTCCATGGCATCCTACTGTCACATGCTCCTGTACCACTGTGCCTGCCCCGACCTGGGGAGCTGAGTCTTCAATGAAGGTCCCCTTGAGGCAGAGCCCTCCCCAGCTTGAGGTGGACCCCTCTCTCTGTATAAGCTTACCAATGGCACTGAGGGCATGCTGGAGCTCCAGTGCAAAGGTGGTAAGTGGCACGTCCTCAGACACGGGCATCGCAGCCACGGTGGACAGGTTGCCAGCTGGGCTACCTATGTCCCACTTGCTGCCTGTTGTGTGGAGCCCAAGCTGGTGGCCTGTGGAGCAGAGTGCAGCGTCAGCCTAGGAGGCCACAGCTGGGACAGCCTTAGTGTCTCCAAACGACACAGGCACCAGCCAGGACCAGGGTCTGCTCTGGGTCTTCCCAAGGACGATCAGCCCCTGGTTCAACACAAGGACTGATGTACTCCTGGCACTGGCTGAGGAAGGAGCCCACCCTGACCTTAAGGCTTGGAGATTCCGGGAGCAGTAGGCTTTAGAAAAGAATAAACTCATGCAGGTGTCCTGTTCTGCCAGAACAGGGGATTCAGCCTTTAGACGGGCTCCTGCTGGAACGTTCCACCCCTCACTCTAGAAGCAGCATGAGCCTGGAAGGTTAGCAGACATGTTACCTTTCATCTGCACATAATTTCCAGAACCCCTACCTACCTGCTCTGCACCCTGTCATGCCCTCTTCCATGGCTCATCTCTCTCCTGACTCCACCAACACCTCCAGAATGTGCTCTTCTCTGACTGGCCCCTCAGCAGTACCACCCAGTTGGCCACAGTGCTTTCCCACTGCATGAAGGAAGGGGTGCTGTGCAGACTGTGAAGGCTCAATCCTCTGCCTGTTTCTGCTGTGAGGCTGCAAAGCCCAGAGCCATGTTCCCAGCAGCTCACAGGCGGCACCCAGCTTCTGCCAAGGAGCCATGCTCAGCAATGCTCAAGGTATGGAGGGTCGTCCACTCTCAGGCCACAGGGAGAAATGAGCATTCCGGGGAGGGAGCCCAGGGCTGGGCAGTGTCAGCCACAGAGTTTGCTGGCCCCTGGGAAGAGACCCAAGCCCTGGAGCAGGAGTGTTAATCAGCTGTTCCAGCAGGGCATCCTCCCAGAGCACATACTAGAGGGCCCTGTAAGAAAGGATGGGAGACCCCAGCAGTGTGGGCTGCATCTGCTCCTCGCCTACAGGGCTCTGTCCTCAGACGGGTGTGTTATAAGCCTATACAACTTTAGTGATAAACTGTACAACAGTGGACAAGAAAGTGAAGCAAAGCAAGGCTTGTCACACGTTTTCCTCTTGGATCTGCTCCTCCCGGTGGACCCAGCCTCATCCACACCTGCCATCTGACCATAGAGCTCAGCCTGACTTCTCCATGTACCTACAGGTCCGGCTCCTACCACAAAAACCCAGGCCCGGGAGGCCCCTCTGTGCAGCAGGTCTCGGGTACCTGATGGTCTCCCTCTGAGGCCACACTCCCCACTGTGATGTCCCACCCTGTGAGGTTGTATCCTACCCACCTCCACCCCTCAGCTCAGTAGGCAGGTCCCCCAGACAGCTGGCCATGACACACAGCCCCCACAAGGAGGCACTGGGTACTGAGACTATCCTAGAGTCTACACTGATGCTTCCAAATGCCAAGTGGAAAGTCTGCCATCCTCAGGATAAAAGAGATACCTGATAAGTGATTTTAAACATCCACAGCCCCCTGCCAGAAGTACCACTGAGCAGAAATGGAGAAGAGTCTCCACCCCAGGCTGGACCTTGCTCTCGGTCTGGTCTCACAGAATCATTCGACATCAGCATTTCTCAGGGGAGCCCTTCCTTTCCTCCTTCCCAGGAACCTCAGATATCAGAACCCCCCCCCCCATTTTTGTATAGAACTGAAGGGGGCTCCAACATTAGCTTTGTGTAGCAGTTTCTTAGTCTTTAAGCAAGGTACTTGTCAAGTTCTGGCTCTGGCCCAAAGGGAGGTAAAACAGGCACACACTACCTGGCTGTCACAAGTGACCTGGCCACCTCCTGAGAGACTGGTCAACACTCAGCACCAGCAAACATCTGGTCCCAGCAGCTCACCACAGCCACCCCTGGCCTGAACCAAAGGTGGGAAAGGTAGAGAGGAACTCTTCAGACTGGCGTGTATAGGCCTGGCCATGCAGGCACCAGCTGCAGTCCTCCAGAGGCATTGAGAGCTTGGATGGTGCACATGGCTAGCAGCTTTTATGCTGGTTCTGTGAGCACAGGACAGGGCAGACAGAGCAGCACTGCAAGGCCTTGGGGTTGGCTAACATCAGACCACAGTCCAGAAAAGTGGGCCAGGACATGAGCTGCAGGTGCACAGTGTCGTCTGCTGAAATACAAGGTTTAAATGGGAACAAAGCACTCAAAACCTAGCAGGGCATGGTCCAGATCACCAGGTGTACCAAGAGCAAGGAAAACCTGGACTAGAACAAGAAAAGTGCACCAGCAGACAAAATAGCCACGTGTCTCAGACGCTGGAATCATGTGACAGGGACAAGAAGGCAGCTAGACCAGTGATCACCAGCACTCCACAAACAGACCGAAACCAGAGCCCTCCCACAGCCTCCAGCAGGGCAAGGAGACAGAGGAAAGAAGAAGGGACCCAGGGCAGACCAAAAGAACATTCTGCCAGACATCAAAGAGAGAGACCCAGGGGGTAACGACAAAAGCTCTGGCCTGGAAATCCTTATGCTTTCAGAAGAAGAGAAAGATTCAAGGTTGAAAAAAGGTTTTAAGAAATAAAGGCTAAAACCTTCCTAAATTTAGCATAAGTAAAAACCTACTAACTTAAGATGTGATAACCCCAACAGGATACACCCAAAGATATTCACGCCTAGACAGTTCAAAATCCAATTTACAAAAATTAAAGGCAAAAAAAAAATTCTTGAACATGGATAGAAAGAATAACACCTTACCTATTTGGGAACAATTTAAAGCCAGGTTGAGTGAGAACTAGAAAGTCTGGTGGTCCATTTTCAGAACACAGCATTTGGCTCCAATGTAAAATAGCTGGGGGTGAAGGACAGGGGTGGTGGGAGGGCAGGATGGACATTACAGGCAAGTAACATGGAGGGTAAAGATTCCCAGCCCCTTGACAGACAGCTGAGGGAGGGGCCCCCGACCAACAGAGATAACTGCATACGTGCCAAAATGCACTCCACCCAAGGGGACTCCCCTGCCATAAGAGAGCAGAGGGAGGTGGGGACATTTCTTTAAACAGCCCAATAGGAGACAGTAAAACCTAGGTGACGACACTAGGAAGAGTGTGCACCCCACAGAACTTAGCCAATGAGGAACCGGGGGGGGGGGGGAACTTGCACTCTCTGGGATAAAGTGCTGGTTTTAAGTGTGTACCTGCTCCCCAGATACCCGATCTCACAAGACCATCAGTAAAGCCTGGCCCTTTGCTGTTCCTGTGTTCTGGAGTCCATGCTTTGGGCTTGGACAGGTGACCATGTTTCTCACAGTGTGGCTTATTTACAATGTTGGGGTGAGAAGTGTTTCAGATTTGGGACTTATTCAGGTTTGGGGACATTTGATGGACTACCGGTTAAGCACCCCTGATCTGAAAATCCAAAATATTCTAGAATTAGAGATCTTTTTAATGCTTCTTTAATTCTGAGTGTCATCACTCAAAGGACATGAGACAAAGTTTTTAAAGTGCTGAGTCACAGGGACCATCAAATCAGAATGCTACATCTAGCTAAACACCCCTTGAGATGAAGGTGAGGTAAGACAGCTACACATGGATGGAAACAAAGAAAAGTCCTGACCATTCACTTGCTCCAAAATAACTGCTAAGAGAGGCCCTTCCACAGGGGGAACTGCCCCTACAGACCCCCACCAGGGTGCAGGAGAGTAGCCAAGTATCACACACTGTTCCCTTTAGATTCAAAATGAGGTGTGATGAGTGAAAGCAAAAGTGAGCACGGGTTGAAGGGCTCTCGATGATGTAGAGGTAGTAAGACAACATAGTGTAACAGGAAAGTTAATGTGATCCAGACAGGGATGAGGTGCTCTGATTACACTTGGTGGAACAATGCTGGTAGTAATAGACAAGTCAACAGTGAGGTGAACATAGGTATTGTGATGCCCAGAGTGACCACTGAAACTATCATTGAAGAGCCAGGGACAAGTAAAAACTGGATGCTTAAAAGGGCCACGCTGGGTGTGATGGCACATGCCTGTGATCCTAGTGACTCAGGAGGCTAAAGCAGGAAACATGCCAGCTGAAGTCCAGCCTGGCAAATCAGTGAGATCATGTCTCAAAAAAAATTAATCAATCAGATTTAAACTACAGTTGGGGTGCCAGGAGCTGCCACATAGGAAATGAGCGCCCGTTAGTCCTGAGTGATGAGAGTGTGGAGATATGGCCAGCCAGCCCTGGGCTGTGTGGGTGTGAACTGTAGGCACTGAGTGTACAGGGTAGAGGAACCGACATGGTCCCTGTTTTGGGGAAGGCCTCTCTCTGGTCTCTTCACTCACCCTACCATGATCTCCACACAGCTCATGAGATGGGTGTGGCCTCCCTAGATGTCAGTCAACCTGCTGACAGCAGACATCAGGAAGCTAGACTCAACCCCCTTGAAACCTGACCTCTTGCCTCATTTGAATGGCTTCTTCCCAATAAAAGGGTACGCGTGCTCTTTCTCTCTCTCTCTCTCTCTCTCTAAGGACCCCTATGGTCAGAGAGCCATAACAGGACCCAAAGAAAAAGTTATTTATCTGTCTCTGTGTGATTATTTCGTGCAGCCCAGTTCACCTGGAATGACCCTGAGTGTTTTAGTCATGGAATGCAACGCAACAGTGAGGGATGGGGGGAATAGGAAAATTTACAAAATGGGAAAAATAAATACTGATAAAATAATTACATTATCTATAAATGGTCAAAACACACAAACCAAAAGGTGAAGACCATAAGAAGGGATGACAAGAACAGGATCCAATGATATGCTCCCTATGAGAAACTGACTTCAAACAGATTGGTCCCTCCCCAGCTGAACATGCCTCATGCCTCCCACATTCAGTCAAATGGAACCTCGGAGTGTGACTTTATTGGAAACAGAGCTTTAGAGATGTGATCAGATGAGGGTGAGGTCAGCCTGAAGTGGACCACACCATCACTCTTGCCGCCTCTGTGCAACATACCTTTCCACTGGCTTATCCCTTTCACACACACAGTACTGTGCACAAGGCACAGCCGTGGTTCAAGACATAATCTCTGCCATCATGCAGCTCATGGGACAGTGCAGGCAGAGCCCACGGACAAGCCAGCTAGGAAAGCTGGTGGAGAAGGAGGACTGAGAACAGCAGGCATTGATGGGGAGGTCAGGAGGCTGTGCTGAGCACCGGGCTCAGGAATGCAGAGGGGTGTGCTCCAGGCAGGGGGCAGGCAGGTGAGGACCATGTGCCTGGTGTGCGCAGAAGAGGGAGAAGCCCTGAGGCAAGTCTGTTGACCAAAGAAGAGCTAAAGGGCAACACCCCAGTTCTCAATGTCTAGAGTCCAGGGAAAGGGAACAGCCCCAGAAACTAAAGCCAACAGTGGCTCCTCAAAAAAGCACATGCTCAGAGACAGGAGAGGAAAATAAGCTGGAGTCCTTTCACCATCTTTCCACGCTTGGCATAGGACAGAAAGCAGCCTCCAACTAGCCCACTCCCTGGAGCTTCACCCTGTTTCCTTTTTTTAATGGGCTAACAAAAATAGGAGGAAGGTACCTCCCAATTCTGTCCACACACAGTGGAGCTTCCCTCACTGCTGCCCACATTGAAACACATTTCAGCAAAATTTTCTGTCACTGCCAAAGCCTAAGCACACTGACTCTACCCACCCTCTTCAGTCACACTGGTGGGAGCTCTGCAGCCTTCCCGGAGGTTTGGGCAGCCCTGCAGTCCGTGTGGTCCAGTGTGGGACTGTGTTTGGTGAGTCGGCTCCGTAGGGGCCTAAGGCTGCACAGGGCTGGGCTCTGAGGCAGGGAGGGGCTGTGCCCAGAGTGGGTAGGGAAGCAGGAAGGGCCCTTGAGGCAGGTCTCTAACACCACTGTGTGGGGCACACCCACCTGTCACAGATCCCTGCTGGAGGTTTCCCAGGATCTTCTCTCCCAAGAGATGAATCAACCGAGTCACCACCTAGGGGCACAGAAAGATGAGAAACCTCAAACAACATATTTTTAACAGTGAAAGCTGGCAACTAAAGACTGCACAGTGATGCTCGAATCAGGCCTCAGGCCCTTTCGAAAACTGTCACAGACTGGAAATCACCGTCAACCACGGATGACCAGAGGCTCCCTTCTGCAGACCATTATCCTTCTAGTTGCCAGAGAAGCAGTTCACTCTGAGGACAGCCCTGGGAGCCAGGGGCAGCAGGTGAAAGAGGCATATCCCCTGTGATCCCAAGCCTGCTCTAGAACAGGCAGACACCCCAAGGCAGCTGCCCTGATCTCAGGGCAGGATGAGGATCGACTGCCAGGGCCTCCTGAACTGCAGGCTCATCTTGGTCAGGTGCAATCTGCTCCTGCATGGACGTCCCACTCCAGGGGGACAGATGGGGATGTGGACTGATATATGATGATGCCCAGTAATTACTACATTTTAGACACGATAGTTATTTGGGGTTATATTAATATTAACATTTTTAATGTTGTAGACTAGTGTATTTAAGGACTGAATGTCAAAATATCTACAACTTTTCTGTAAGAATTAATTTTAAATTGACAAATGAAAATAATCACAATATATCATTTATTTATTTATTTATTGGTGCTGGGGATTGAACCCACAAACGCTCTACTGCTGAGTTACACCTCAGTCCTTTTTCTTTTGAGACAGAGTTTTGCTAAATTGCCAAGGCTGGGCTTGAATTTTTGATCCTTCTGCCTAGACCTCCAGAGCACTGGAATTTCAGGATTCCTATTATGGAGACAGGGGCAAAGGTCAGGCAGTCTGTGTAGGTAGTGAATGATAGGGATTAAGAGGGTGAGGACCATGTAGGTAATGAATGATGGGGGTCAAGAGGGTTATCAGAACAATGGGTTGCTCAGGGTTACCCTCCTTGACTGTGCTCCTCACCACTCTGGGCTGCTAACAATTAACCTCTGCGCTCCTGCTCCCCGTCATGTGTAGGGGAAGAAGAGAAGACAGTGATTAAAGGTGGGGGATTCTAGGGCCTATAAGAAAGCAAGTAGCACCCCCTCCAGACTCTCACTCTCCGGAGGAGTCCATCTCTAGTGTCTACCACTTTCTTAAATAAAACTTGCTCTCTACCCTGGTCTCTCCCCAATTCCAGCAGCCACAAGAAACACACACTCCTGGATGGTTTGGAAGCCAGTCCCAAGCAAAGCATTTCATGATACACAAACATTAATAACTGAATATGGTTCTGTAAAACATAAGAGCCTTTAAAAACAACCATAATTGTCACAATTAAAAATTGTCACAACAATAATTCAAAGTGAAAGCTGATTTTAAAAAAGATTATTTCTTTCTTTTTTTTTTTTTTTTTTTGGTGCTGGGGATTGATCCCAGGGACTTGTGCATGCGAGGCAAGCACTCTGCCAACTGAGCTATATCTCCAGACCTTAAAAAAGATTATTTCTGTATCAAGTGACAAAGGCTCAAAACAGGCCAATAAGTCTGTGAACGGGTTTCAGCATCTTCAGTTACTGGGAGATGCGAATCCATACCACAGTGAACACCCACTTTACGCCCACATTGTGCGGGTGTGGCATGGACAGCAAGGCTCGGGCCCCACCACACAGGCTGCAAAGCACACAGCAGCAGTGGAGAGCTGTCTGCAGTTCCCCAACACACACCTCCACTGTGACCCAGCAGTTCCTCAAGAGAAAGAGAGCATTGTCCCCACTGACTCTCACCACCACTGTGTGGGGCTGGGCTTAGCTCAAACTGGAAACATCCAACATCTCTCAGTTGAAGAAGGGACCAGTGGGGTGCACAGTGCAGAAGCCATACAGAAGGCTGTGCTCTGTGCTAGGTCACATGCAGGAGATCCTGGGACGATTTTTGAGGGCGAGTGCAGGGGGCTGATGGAAGCACCTCACCAAGGGGCTTCCTGTGGTGGAAGGCTGAGGGCCCTTCTCCATGAACAAGACACAGCCCAAGGGGAGAGCCCACCATTATGAAGGGGATGCTGCTATAGACCAGGGAAGAGGCACTGGGGTTCTCAGGACTGCATGGACCCCTGCCAGCTTACACACTCTCAGGGGCTGCTGAGGCTCAGCTTGGCCACAGAAGACGAAGGCAACCCAGCAGTGTGCAGCCTAGGTGTGGGCAAGAGCAAAAGCAGACAGCCATGGCCTACTGTGAGGAGCAGCAAGGCCAGAAGGCCAGAGACAAGGAGATGGGGAATGCCATGGACCCACGGGAGTGGTTGTGAGTATATTCAGGCCACCAGGGAGCAGTCACAGAGGAGTCAGCCAGTGGCCAAGGCAGCCTGCTGTCTCTGGCTTGGGACCCCAGTTGCGCATGGGGTACAACAGGGTTGCATGGCCATGCTGACAGGAGTCACCATCCAGGATAGCAGTGACCACCCTCTTCCGTGGATGGGCCATCAGTTCATCCTGACTGGCCAATGCTTACTCATCCTTAAATGGACAACTATAGTATCCCTGGTCATGGTTGCTGCCTGAGGCCCCTGGGGATTCAAGTCCAGGTCACTATATAAGCTACCATCTGGCAGGAGTACCAGTTGGGAATAGGGCAGACAGGACCCTCTGGTAAGCCCCAGGTGAGGGAGAGGCCCTGGCTTGGGCAGGTGGGGTGGCCCGGGGCGAGGCCCTAGGAAGTGGAGGGCCACACCCTCCCTGCCTTACCATTTGCTCTGGAATGGACAGACTGACTTGGCACATACTTCATAGCTGGTTGAAGATCACAGATCTAAATGTAGCTTCTCAGTGGCCAGGCACCTAGTACTCCCTTGCTACTGCCTCTGGTCAACTCTGAATCTGAGGTCAGGTTCTCTCCATGTCTGATATCCTCATGACTCACATATAGGGAAGACAACCAGAACAAGCAGCTATGACACCTCCCTGAGGTGCAGCACAAGTGCCCTCACTATGCTGCAGGGCTGTGGGGCTGCAAACTCTACCTACCCTCTCCAAGCCCCACCCCACCTGCCCAAAGCTGCCTGGTGAGAGCCCCAGCCCCACAGACATGCCTTCCTATCACTTTCCTCATGCCATCCCACCTGCTGCTCCAGGTCAGATCTGTCTGCACTTGATTAAATAATCATCTGGCCTCAAGGCAAATGCAACAGGGGCCCTGTACCACCTTTACCTGTGGATATCTGCGCTTGATAGATGTCAGGGCTCCTGCAGGCAGCTTGGCCAGTTCTGAGTCCCGAACAGCATGCACCGTGGTTGCCCTGGCCTGATGGGTCAGCGTCTCCACCTGAGGAAGAGGAGCCAGGTACTGAAGCCACACTGCTCAGGCCTACCTGGAGCCTAGCCCAGTGTAAGTGGTGCTCATGTGGACAGCAGCCCATGAGAGAGACATGTAGCCACAGGGTGCTGGAACCAGGGAGGAGACAAAATGGCCTCACCAAGCCTCCAGTGAGCTCTCACAGGTTCTGCTGCCAGAACCACAGGCATGTGCCGGAAGCCAGCAGCCCAAGGGCACTGGAACAGGTCTTAGGCACTAGCTGGGGTCATAGTCTGGCAAAGGGTAGTCAGCACACTCCCTCAGAAATGAACAGCTGTGGCTGTAGCTTGTCTAGCATGTGTGAGGCACTGGGTTTGATCCTCAACACCACCTAAAAATAAATAAATAAGGGGCTAGGGATAAAGCTCAGTTGGTAGAGTGCTTGCCTTGCATGCACAAGGCCCTGGATTCAATCCCCAGTGCTAATCAATCAATCAATAAAAGGTACTATGTCCATCTATAACCAAAAAAAGAAAGAAAGAAAGAAAAAGAAAGAAATGAACACCTTTGGAGAGGAACCATATCCCTAGGAGGAGGCCATAAGGTATGCCCCTTAGAGCGTATAGAGCCTGCTGCCAGGCATGACAGTTCCTTTGCGGCATCTTGTCAGGCACACCAACTTTCACCTGAGAAATGGCAGCTGGGCTGCATGAGGCACAGCCCCCGCAAGGCTAGTGTCAGCTGAGCAAGAGGAAGCCCTGGACTCTGATGTGGGAGATGTACTGCCCAGGCAGAGTTCAGAGAGGTGGCTAGGAGCTTCATGGGCATAGGGTTGCACAGCAGGAATCAGGCATTGGCCCACATCCTCCAAGCCACCTTTTGCCTTAAGACCCTGCAGCACATGCCTCTGGGCTTCCCTGACCACTGGTTTAAAACCTAAAAAAAACCCCAGAAGCCCCAAGCTGTAAGAAGCCTGGCCTGGTCCACTCTCCTTCTAGAGACCCAGAAGCTCACTGCTGCAGCAGCCTAGGGCTGGCCAGCAGCAGTTCAGGATGAAGAGACCTGCCTGCGCCAGGTGGCCCTGAAAGGCCTGAATGAGTTCTTAGTCACTCTTAATAGAAACCTTTGGGAGGTGACTCAGAGGTCACAACTCACCCCCCAGGGCTCCAGTACCAGCTGGGAAGCAAGTGAGAACCCCAAACCAGGGAGCAGTACTCTGAGACACCCAGAAGGCAGAAGCATACCACAAATGTGATCCCAGAGAGCCAGGGCTCAGAGCCAACCAGCTATGGGGAGCATTGCCCTCCTGTAGCTGCTTCAGGGGCTCCTCCTGCACAGGGTATCAACCAGGCCAATCCAGAGTCTCAAATGCAGGGGAGCCCAGCACCTACCACACCAATGAGGTCTCCACGGCCATACTCCCCTGCCAGGCGCTTTTTCCCATCATCCTTGCAGATGACAGAGCGCAGTCGACCACTCAGGACGATGTATGTGCAGTCAGACTTATCTCCCTGCCTGCAGAGACACAGAGGCCCTGGAGGTCCGCAGCCTGCCACTCTTAGCTGCTTCCAGGCCCAGCTTCCCAAAAGCCAAATGGACCCCAGGGTTGCAAAAAAATTAAATAACACAGTCTTCTCAGGAAAGTTTTTTGTTTTGGAAAATATAGTTATTTTTTCATTAAAAAATATTTGCGTTAACACACGAATTCACTATTAGGTCTAAATATTTTTTGTTTCCTTACTTTACATTTTAAACCCCACAGAAGTTGAGAGCAATAACCCAGGTTTGTCTGAGACCAGGGCGAGTGGGGGGTTGTCTATGGTGGATTCCAGGGCAGCCTAGAGAGGCTCGCAGAGGACCCGAGAGAAGTCAGCCACAGCACCCCGAGCCACAGGCTGTGTGCAGTTTTAAAGAACATGGGCTCATGTATAGCCTGGAAAGTCATCCAGGAGGAATATGCTGTGCCTGGGGAGCCCAGGATGCCCGCCCGTGACACACCTGTGAAAGGCACATCTGTGGGTACCTGGAGGGTGAGTACCTGCAGTGTGCAGTCTCCTCAGGAAGCAAGCTGGGGCTATTAGGCATCACTTCCAGTACAAACAAGAGGGACACCCATAGGAAAAGGAAGATGCCTAAGAACCTCCCTGTACACAGCAGACCTTCAGGCCTCACCTGTATATGGCACGCCCAGCCTCTACCTCCATCCAGTCCAGCGCGAAATCAATCTGCCGCACGAAGGACGACATCCTCTTCACTACAGTGTGTGCCACGGCCAGGACAACTGACGGCTGCTTCCGCATGATCCTGCCAGGTAGCCATGGTCACTCTCTTACTCCCATTGCCCCACCTCTCTGTCCTACCCCATTCCACCAACTCCACCATCCACACAGTGCTTGAGAGAAGGCAGCCACAGCCCCATCCAACACCCAGGAGCCTGAGGCCCACTGGAGGTGGTAAGTTTCTGAGGATGGGGCAGGAGCTGGCCCTGTGCCACAACTGAGTAGGTATCTGCCAGAGCAACACACTGTGTGGGCTCAGCCACCTGCAGGGCAAGCGGCCCCTCCTACGTGGGTGCAGGGTGGAAGGAGGAGCCAATATAGGAAGCATCATCTACTGGGTGGCTGTGTTGGGCAGATTAGGGAGGTCAGGGTAGCAGTAGGGGTGTCCTGGTGGCTCCAGAGAGTGGTGTTCAGCTCATGGGCTACGGTTGCCTGCACTGAGAGGGGACATGCCTGGGCAGAGCTGTCGCTTGCCAAGACTCAGAACAGGAACCTGCCTTGCACATCAGATGGCAGGAGCCCCTTCCACATCCCAGGGAGATTGCAAGACATTTGCATCTGCTCCCAGGGTTGGATGAAGCCCAGTGATGGGGCTTCCACCCTGCAGGATGGGAGCTGACTGCATCAGGGGTTCTCGTTCCATGCAGACACGCACATACAAACACACGGGCACACACACAAAGAAATACACAAAGGGCCACAGACAGACACACAGGCACAGCAGGGTCAGGCTGGGTCTCTGCCCAGGCCCTGGATTTCCTTCCCAAGCCTCTTCCCAAGGTAGGCAGGGGACAGGGGCAGTAGGCTGGGAGTCTGCATGTCTAAGACAAACAAATATATACACTTCAGGAGGAAGCCACTGTGGGGAGTGTTCTGAATAACCCACATCTTCCAGTCCTGAAGCAGGGGTCTCTGACCAATTACTACATTTCATGATGACTTGGGCATTGTCCAGCTTGGATAGTAAAGGCGGGTCTTCAGGTGTAGGTGTCGTCCCTAGGTTTGAGTTACATTCACCTGGTCCCTTGTAACCCTGCCCCTTCTGGCCTTTTTTGGATGGAACTTTCTAAAGAACAAGAGTCCCCCCAATAAAAGCCCACTTCTGAACGTGTTCACTCTCTCTCGCCAGCCTCTCGTGACTTTCTCTTGCGCTCCATTTTGGGGACCCTGAGGCTGAGAGCAGAGGAGTTGTCCTGAAGCTTGTGTAAAGGTAACTTGTGTCTGTGTTTTATTTGGTGTCCCTGAAAATTCACATGAGCAATCTTAAGTTCAATTGCCTGCGCGGATCGGGGGCAGCAAGCTACCCAACTGGCTGGCTAGAGGGACTTGTGCAGGTTTCTACCTCTCTGAGCCTCAATTTCCCTATCTGTAAAATGAAGACACAGAACCAGGGTCCCACACCAGGGCGTGTAGGCCAGACCTGGGAACCAACTGCCCACCAACTGCTCAGGCAGGTGCTGTCTTGCTTGGCCAAAGCCACCACCTCCGGCACAGTGGGGACCACTGCTCTGGAAACATACTTGGCTGAGACTTGGTTTTTAAGCTGCTGGGCTTCCACTGATCTTAGGACCCCTGACATCTCCTTTTCCACCTGATCATCTGGCCAAAGAGATCTAGGATCATAGCAGGCATCTGCAGATGGGGAGACAGAAGTCTCCCAGAAGTGTACACAAGAAGGTAGCTGCTGATGGGCTGGGGTTGTGGCTCAGAGGTACAGCACTCACCTAGCATCTTTGAGGCACTGGGTTCCATCCTCAGCACCACATATAAATAAATAAAATTAAGGTACTGTATCTATCTACAACCAAAAAATATTAAAAAAAAAAAGGTCACTGCTGGTTAGAGACAATGGGTGTCATGGACCCTGAGGGACCAAAACCCCAGCAAGGCAGAAATGAAAATAGTTGTTTTTTGTGTGTGTGTTTTTGGTTTATTTTTTGTTTTCAGTGCTGGGGATACAACACAGGGCCTTTAGCATGCTAGGCAAGCACCCTACCAATAAGCTCCAGCCTTTTAAAACTTTTGATCTTGAGATGGTCTCATTAAGTTGCCTAGGCTGGCCTCAAACTTGCTATATCCTCCTGCCTCAGCCTCTTGAGTAGCTGGGATTACAGTTGTGTACCACCATATCCAGCATGAAATATGGTGGGACCCCCAGAAGAAAGCGGCCTCCCTGCCAGACAGCCCTTCCGATGACTTGGCTAGTAAGGGACATGATGCAGGACTCCCAGGCAGTCTGAGGACATCACTAGGTCTGGAGCACAGAATGCTGATCAGGTGGGCAAGGTGTCCAGCCTGGTGCCTGCACAACACAACCCACTCTTTCCCTTGGCCCTCTCTCTGTAGCCAAAACTGGTCTAAGCATGAGCAGGCAAAAGCAGCAGCACAAAAGGCAGTGGGGTCAGCACCACAGGCAGAGAAGACAGCACACAGCAGTTTCCGCAGGCTGGTAAGGTGCTCTTGGCACCTACACATGCAACCACCCAGCATGGCAGCAGCTCCAAGAACTCACGAAGGACGACCAGCAAGCCTGCCCTGCACAGTCCTCAGGGGCAGAGGGCCCAGAGGCAGATGAGTGAGCAGGAGGGAGGGGGAACAGTGGGGTGCAGGGATTACTCACTCATAGAAGTGGGCCTTGGAGATGGACAAGAAGCTGCAATCCCTGTTGGCCCTGATGGTGAACATAAGGGGCTCTCCTGTGAGCACTGCCAGCTGGCCCACCATCTCCCCAGGGTGCGTGAGGAACAGGCAGGTATCCTCCTGGCTGTCAATCTTCTGCTGGTACACGTGCAGCAGCCCCGAGACCACAAACAAGGTGTTGACATCCTGGTAAAACCAGAGGGGGCCGGAGCTTCAGAGAGATGCAGGGCAGGGTCTGGGAGGCCCAAGGACCCAGGGCCCAGGGCCCAGGGGGGGCTCCTCTGGGGTTGGCCCCAAGGACCCAGGGCCCAGGGGAGGCTCCTCTGGGGTTGGCCAAGCCCCAGGAAGCTGCATAAGGGTGCTTCTCTGTCTGGTGCTGCCTCGCATCATCTGTGGACCAAGCTAGCCCTGGGCCCATGCCCCACGAGGAACTTCCAGCAGTGCTGATTTTATTGTTTAGATGGGTCACAGGAAACCTAGCTTTTGGGGTTGCAGATGCATGTACCTTCCCTCCTGTTGTCTTTCCACTTACTGCTCCACATGTGTCAGCCCAATTTTCCTACAGAAGTGGAGATGCAACCTCTCCCTGTAAAACCTGAGGTGGGCAAGTACAGCCCTCCTCAGTAGCCCGTGTGGGCCAACACCTGGCCCCTCCCACCTCTGTCACAGGCACTTGTCACACCCATTTTGGTCCAACAAACCACTGAGATCTAATCCCAGCTCCTCTGCATCCAGCAAGGGGCTCTTCCCAAATCTGCTCTCCCTTCCCCCATCTGAGTAGGAGGTTGCCCCCGGGCTCTGGGCTACCCAAGGATAGCTGGTAGTGGTCCAGTGCTGGATGCCGCCCAGTCCAGCCTCTCTCCTCCATGCTCCATCTAGTGCTGGGCAATCCTCACAACAAACCCCCTGGGCTCACCTGGTCTCCCTGTCTTGACACCACGGTGCCTGCAGGGACATGGAGAAACTCTACCCGGCCATCTAATAGGGATGGGTCCTAAAAAACACAACAGGTTTCAAGGGGCATGCAGAGGCTCTCAAGTGAAGGCACTAAGGATGGGGCCATGCAGTGCAGGCCAGAGGTAGCCATCCACTCGGCTACTCCAGACAAAACGCTCCTCCAAGACTCCACTAGCACAAACTCAACAGACACATGAGCATTTTGCAGAAAGGATCAGAGGAAGACAGCAGAAAGTAAAGGAATGGAGACCAGTGTTTTTGTGGATTTCTAGAGAGAGAATTTTATCTCAGTAAGAAAGTGCGATCAATTTCATAAAGATCACTGGCATAAAAGATAATGGAGGAGTGTCCTTCCATACTTACTTCAAGCCCACCTCTGCAGTAAAAACCAGTAAACTGCCAGGTATGGTGGCATGCACTTGTAGCCCCAGCTACTCAGGAGGCTGAGATAGGAGGATCATTTGTACCCACAAATCCAGACCAGCTCCAGCAAAGTAAGACCCAAACTCAAAAACAAAATGCAAAAACAAACCAACAACTACAGAACGTAATTAACTGAGTGAGGCCACTTCCCCATACCACCTGCAGAGGCTAACTCCCACAGAGGACATGTCGATCAGTGCCTAGAATCTCTATAGCCTCCAGGTGACGGGGAAGGGTCTAGAGTGCCTAGGAGCCCACAGGACAGGCCTTCAGCAATACAGGCAGAGGTTGGGGAGGTCTGAAGACTCCATATCCACAGTCTCAGTGAACAAAAGTAAAAAGAAAGCTTATCGGTTGCCTTTAGGTAACAGGGGCTACATCACTAACCTCACCCTCCAGTGGGTGGGGACTGCAGCTTGGCACTGGAGCATGCGCTCAGCATAGGCAAGTCTCAGGATTTGATCCCAGTACCACAAAAACCCACAAATTTAAAAATCAAGCCTGCAAAGCCAGTGAAGCGTCCTTCCCTGTGCCTCAAAGACTGCTAACTTCCCCACAAAGAAAGATCTGACATCACAGGCCTCCTGAAGGAAAGCAGGACATCTGCTACATGATTTCCCCAAGGCCAGGAGGACAGGAGGAAAGGAACCTAAGCAGCCCAAGACCAGCCAGAAGGCCAGGCTGCGAGCCCCGGCTCAGATGCAGGCTTGGTGCCTGGAGCCTTCCCTGAACCTTGGAGTATACAGGAGGAGCAGTAGCCCTAAACTGAAGGCCAGACAGGGAGGGAGTCCACCAGGACCAAGGGACAGGTCAGCCAGCCCGGGGACTCTACTGTCCTCATAGCATATACCAGACGGCTGGAAATCTGGACTCTGCCCTAGTGACTGAAGGTGTTAAGGATCACTGCTGTGTGTACAGGAGGGATGACGACTCTGTGGTTATGTGCAAAACAGCTGGTCTTTCAGGACAATCCTTGAAGTCTTCAGAACCTGCTGGGCATATGGGAGGGGCACAGGCCAAAGCAGATGGCCACGCAGGGACAATAGGCCAGTCCCACAGCTCTATGTACCAAGTAGTCTCTAAAAGTGAGCCCAACAAGAAAGAGGGCCCCAAGCAAGGACTAGTGGGGACTGGAGAAAACAGAAGAGACTCGGAGAAAACAGAAGGGACTGACATACAGCGACATTACCCGACACAAAGCCAAATCTGAAATGCAGCGTGGGCTAGACTAAACACTATGATAGTGGAAGCAGACTTTTCTTAAATGTAGAAACTCTAGAACTACAGAAAATAATGAAATTTTAAAACTCAACGCATAGCTTTAAGATCACTTAGACACTGCAAGAAGAGACTTAGTGAACTTAAATGAATACATTTACATATTAAAAAGACTTTGTTAAAAATAGAAAATATAGAAGAGAGGCCAACTCAAAGGAGATGAAAGAGAAGAGAATATCTTCTCCAGGCTCCGCCGTGAGGAGTCTCTGTGGGCAGCTTTTCTTGCTTTCTTTCTTTTTTGCAGTGCTGGAGATGGAACCCAGGGCCTCAAGAGTTCTAGGCAGGTACTCTACCATGGGCTGCCCCCCAGGCCACTGACAGCTTTTGAAAGGGACTCAGACACAGACTGAATAAACCCAATGAGGTTCACACAAGCTCCATAAAAAGAAATCAGACCAAGCTCTATCACAGTGAAACTGGGAAGACAAGGACAAAGAGATCATGGAGGGGAGAAGCAGATCATGGAATTCTTCGTCCCACTCTCTCCCCCTCTGAGCACAACCCCAGTAGGCCTTCAGGATTGATGCAAAGGGCATCTCACCACAGCCATGCCAAGCATGCTTCAGGCCTGGGTTCAATCCTTAGCACCAAAAGATGCAGGAGGCAACAGAGGAACCCTGAGCCCTCTCCCTCTGAGCAGAGCCCACCACCAGAGGATGCAGCAGCAAGCTCCAGCAGACAGGGAGAGCTCCTGTTCTCTCCTCCCTCAGCTTCCAAGGTTGGCCCAAATGCAGAGCCAGAAGGGATGCCGTGTTGAACCATGGGTGCAGGGGGCCAAACTCAAGGAAAACCCCCACTCTGAGCAGACAACCAGGAAAGAGCCCAGAGGCACAGAGGGAGGAGGCTTCCCTCCCCTTTCTCCTGATGCCCGCCCTGCAGAGCAAACCATACAGTGCAGGTGACAGGCGCAGGAGGAAGCAAAAGAGCAGGCTTTCACTGGCAGGCTCTAATCCTAGCCCTTCCTTGCATTGACATGAAAATTAACTCTACCACATTAAAACCTAGGAAGGCAAAATAAGTAAGTAAACCTTTTAGGCAACAATATAGAAAAGGGTTTATGATGTCAGATGAGGAAGCGTTTCATAAAAAAGGCACAAAAAGCTAAAGCATAAAGGCCACAGTGGAGGACTCCCACACCGCCCCACTGAGCCGCACACTAGAGCAGGCAGCCACTGGGGGGAACTGGAGCTGGGGAGGGGCAGGGCGGCAGCAGGGGCTGGCTCGGGCTGCTCAGAGCCAGCATGTCCATAAGGTGATTCTGTGGGTCCTTATGAAGGACACCCATAGGCATGACCCCTGCCCAGGGAGGGGAGTGCTACAGGCAAGAGGATCTGCAGCCCCCAACGCAGCCTGAGGGGCCTGTATCCCCAGGAGGGAGGCAGGAAGCAGGCGCTGTGTGGGCAAGGACTGGCCACCACCCTAAGCTGCACTCACGTCCAGCTTCATCAGGGTGAGCAGGTCCTCCTTGGCTGCTCGGAAGATAGCGTCCGTCTTCCCGCTGGAGCCATGTGGGTCCCAGCGACACTCTGAGTAGTGGAGGAGAGAAGAGGGAACCTCTGCACCCATCGTGTTTTTCTTGGACTTAAGAAGAACAAAGAGATCAGCCATCAGAAGAGATGTGATGGGGAAAAGTGCATGAGGGATTAGCTTGGTGGCCCACCACAGAGTCTGGTGACACCAGAGAAAGGACACCTTGGAGAACCAGGACATGTGCCAGTGAGCAAGCCCCAGGCGAAGGGTGAGAAAGGAGAGGCAGGGACCTACCTTGCTGGCCATGGAGTTCCCAGGAAGGTCTGAGTGCAGCCAGACCCTGGCACGGTCACAAGTCATCCCCAGGTCTGAGGTCGCCCCATTGTGGCCCCCTACAAAGAGGGGAGATTCAGCTCACAGCTTACCCTTCCCCCATGTACAAACATGTTTTGGGAGGCAGAGGGCACCCTGAACATCTACAGCACACACCTGGCAGCAAGTCTCAGACCTCTCAAGGGCAGGGTCACTCTGCCCATGGTCTTCTCATGACTGCCCTGGTCCATGTTGTGTTGCTGAAATAGAGCATCTGAGGCTGGTACTTTATAAAACAAAGGAGCTCATCCAGCTCACAGTTTTGGAAGCTGGGAGTCCAAGATCAGACAGCCCCATGTGCTCAGCCTCTAGTGAGGGCTCCCTTGCTGTGTCACAGCACAGCAGAGCAGCAGACAGCACCAAAGCTGTGGGTGGAAGGGACCAAGTGTGTGGGTGATCTTGCTCTACACAATCTATATTTTTTTTATTGTAGATGGACACACACCTTTGTGTGTGTGTGTGTGTGTGTGTACACGTGTACCAGGGAAGAACTCAGGGACACTCAACCACCGAACCTCATCCCTGTCCCTATTTTGTTATTTAGAGACAGAGTCTCATTGAGTTGCTTAGTGAGACTCGCCATTGCTGAGGCTGGCTTTGCACTCACGCGATCTTCCTGTCTCGGCTTCCCAAGCTGCTGGGATTACAGGCGTGTGCCACTGCACATGGCAATACTTTTTTTTTTTTTTTTTTGCAGTGCTGGGGATTGAACCCAGGGCCTTGTGCATGAGAGGCAAGCACTCTACCAACTGAGCTATGTCCCAAGCCCTCTTTATTTTATTTATTAATTTTTATGTGGTGCTAAGGATCAAACCCAGGGCCTCACATGTGCTAGGCAAGCGCTCTACTACAGAGCCACAACCCCAGCCCCCCCAAGCCTGTTCCTCAAGACCCAAGCGACTCCCATCATACAGCTTTGATCTATTCATGAGCATGCAGCCCCTGCCCAAGCAGCTCCCAGCAGGCCCCATCTTCTTCTTTTCTTTTTTCAGTACTGGGGATCCATGGCCAGGCAAGCACTCTACCACTAAGCTACATCCCTAGCCCTAAGGTTCTGCCTCTTAAAGTTTCTACCACCTCAACGCAGCCACACTGGAGATCAAGATTCTAGCACAAGGACCTCTGGGGGCCACACCACATTTGAAACACAGCAATGGTCCACAATCACCATTTAGACACTACTGCATACCCAGTCAGCAGACCTCTAGATCATATCTCTGGATTCTGTCAAAGCATGTGAGCTCTGGATCACACACCCTTCTAGGTTTCAATCCGCCCACACCTGTGAGCTGTGCATGTATGTGACTTATATAGGCTGCAGTGCCCTTGTCCAACAGCTAGAATTTACAATACCCACTCCTTGGGATTGTTTTAAGACTTGCACAATGCTGGGTGCAGTGGCACACGCCTATAATCCCGGCGACTTGGGAGGCTGAGGCAGGAGGATCGAAAGTTCAAAGCCAGCCTTGGCAACTTAAGGAGGCCCAAAGCAACTTAGTGAGACCTTGTCTCAAAATAAAAAACAAAAAGGGCTGGGGAGGTGGCTCAGAGTTGAGTGCCCCTGGGTTCAATCCTCAGTGCCACAAACAAACAAACAAACAAGACTTGTACCTCATATGCCCAGCATCTCACGTGAGCAGGAGGATATAAACGAGGTTCAAATGCAGTGAGTCAGGGACAGGCAGCACAGGGATATCCACAACACACCTCCAGGGAAGGCACTAGGCACCTGAAGGCACCCTGCACCCCGTTCACAGGTGACTCTGGCAGCCAAACCAGAGTGTGGACTTGCACACTCCATGAGGAATGCAGGCTGTGGGAAGTGGGTGGGTAGGCCTTTCTTGGCCCCATGATGGACACCATATGTGGGGGCAAGTCAGTCAGAATCACAGAGCTGCACCCAAATTCTGTGTGCCCCGGTGCGTGCTGCTCATGCCTAGTAAAGTGCTAACCTAAAACACAACCCCAAACCCAGGTGTGCTGACAAGAGCCCACTGTGCTGGCCAGGGGCACTGACTTTCTAGGAAGGTGAGAAGCACTTGGCTTCTTCACTGATGGCAGCCATATAAGTGCATGCCAGGCTGCAGCGACACACTTTTGTCTTTCTGTAAAGTACGTGGCTAAGAAGTGACCTTGAAGAGCCTACAGTTACAGTCACTGATCCCAGGAAGCAGGCATCCAGCCAGGTGCTGTGGCCACGTCCGGGACCTAGCACCTCAGGAGAATGAGGCAGGTGGGTCACACGCTTGAGGCCAGCCTGGGCACCTTAGTGAGATCCTGTCTCCAAAAAAATAGGGGGTGGAAGTGTTGCTTAGTGGTTAGAGCACTTGCCTAGAGTGCATGAGGCCCTGGGTTCAATTTATAAGCACCACAAAAAGGGAAAAAGAAAGAAATAAGAAAGTCTTCAGACTATATAGAAACTGTGAATGGTGTGAATACTGAGTTTTAAAACAAAAGCTGACGAATGCCATAAATTCAGAAAAACTGAATCAGAAGTTTCCACAGCCACCCCAAGATGGCACTTCAGAGCCTGAACCCTGTGCTTTCCAGGGTGCTCCTCTGAAAGTGAGAGGTCCCTGCGCTGATGGAACCAGGGGAGATGATCCAAAGGAGAAGCCCTCCAGCTGTGCAGGCCCTCTGCGAAGGCCCAGGCCTTGCAGTGGGTCCACACTGAGGTTGAGGATGACACCCGAGAGCAGCCATGTCTTCACATAGCCCTCCCTGTGCCAAAGGAACGCAGTACAGTGGGAGTGGAAATGCACACCATCAGACTGTTAAGACCTGAAGATGGGGGCCTGCAAGCTGTTCCTGGTACAGTCACACCTGTGCAGCCACTTCCTTTTAAAAGCAATGAGGTTTTTACATGTTTAAATAGCACAGTGGTTAATCAACACTATTTTTTCCATGCTGAGATATTGTGCATTCACAGTATTAATTTATTACACCATTCTATCACACAAAACAATATAATGTGCTCCATTTTACAATCCTTTTGTTTTTATAATATTAATTATAATTAACTAGCCAAGGTATTATGATACCAATATCAATTTTAGCTGGGTGGGTGGCACACACCCATAATCGCATTGACTTGTGAGACTGAGGCAGAAGGATCACAAGTTTCAGGCCAGCCTCAGAAACTTAGCAAGACCCTCAGTAATTTAGTAATACCCAGTCTCAAAATTAAAACTAAAAAAAGGACTTGGGATGTAACTCAATGGGAAAGTGGCCCTGGGTACAAACCCCAGCACCAAAACCAAACAAATACATACACACACACACACACACACACACGTGCACACGCAAATGTGCATACACACAAAAATAAATAAAGTTAAACATACTCCAAGTGATAAAATATGTGAATACATTAGATTCATAAAACTAAAATACTGACTTCAACAGATATACTTATGGATTGGATAATTTGTATTCAAATTTCATTACATGGTAATTCAAATGTTTCTATCAGTCAAGCTCTTTAAAATGTGGTGGATCAACTAGAAAGCCATGCAGAAAAAGATGTACCTGCAGCTCTCCAAAGAACAAATTCAAGGTAGAAAGAGGCCCTCAGCTGACACTCTGCGAGTGCTGAAGACTAGAACACAGGGGAGGTGGGAAGAGGCCCTCAGCCCACACCCTGTTATTGCTGAATGGCAGTTTACAGTGGCTGATGTTTCTTTATCTTGCTTCACAGGAGAGTTCAGTTTGTGAAATTTCATTAAATTATCCACTTAGGATATTTACATTCTGTAAGTATATTACACAACCATAACAATCAATGAGAATTAAAAAATGACTTAGTGATAAAACTCTTAAGTGTACTAATAAATAGTACATAGTAGATAAGTTAAAAATAGATCCACGCAATAACATATCCAGGTCAGGGAACTCAGAGTCAGGTCCAACAGCTGCCTGGGGCTGGGCAGTTAAAGGAAGTAGCTGCCAGGGAGGTCCTGGCTGGATGGTGGGAACGCCTGGGTAGGTAGCCAAAGGTAAGAATGGTGACCAAGGCACAGATTGTGAATATGCTGAAACCACTGGGCTGCCCACTCTTAAGGTGGGCTTTGTAGCATGTGAACTACATCTCAATAAAACTGTGACCTAAAACCATGCAGATTCTGAAACCTAACTCCTAAAGCGAGATCACCAAAACACCAGAGAGCATGAAAGATTGATTCTCTGGTGGTGTTGGGTGCATTGTGTGGGGTGAAGAAAGGAGCTTCCTCTATATACACATGGCTCACATTCCAAGAGTGAACTACAGATGAAGAAGCACCTTGATGTGGAGCTGACAGAAGAAGAAATATATGACCAGGAAGCAGCAAGGAGTAAGACCCTAAACACAAATCGCAAGGTGTCAAATGGCTGGTTTTCAGTATAGGAGATTCCTGGTGAGTAGAGGGCCCCATGGCTCAGTTTTCTGAGGGAGGGAGAGAGAAGGTCTTTGCAAACATCTAGAGTGAGGTGGGATCTGAACCACAGCACACAAAGAACCACAACATCCACACACCAGCTGCAGAAGCCAGGGGACAAAGGGCTCTGGAGCTCCAGCCATCAGCTCTTAAGAGGGAATCCTGACAGCCTTCAGATCAACCAGGAGGCCCCAAGGTTGCCAATTAACCACAAATGACCAACAGCAAACATGGAGGTGATGCAAGTGAGTCTGTGGTAGGAGTGGGAGGGGCTGCATGCTAGGTGTGGGCTAGGTGGACTTGTGGCAGCAGAATGGGAAGTTGTGCACCTCCGTGTGGGCATGTGCCAGCAGGCAGAGGCTCCAGCAAGGCTTCCATGGGGGATATGTGGCAGCAGGAGTGAAGAGTGAGAAGAGAGCACCTTGTGTCCATGCTGGCCATGGGGACAGTGAGGACTGCCCTGAGATCCAATAAGCCCAGCAAAGGAGAGACTGAGGTGGGAGGACAGGCAACAGCAAGCGCAGGAGACTACAGGCTCTGTGCTGTAAAAAAAACAAGAACCCAGGAAACACAGAGAGCATGTGGGTTTGTGGTGGGAACATCAGCAGAGCCTGCTACCAAGGAAGGGGCCAGTAGGAGTGGCAGAAGAGGGAAGCAGGCAGATGCAGGGACCCCACTGTGTAGGCACTGTGTACAGGAGCTAGATGCCTAATCCTGCAGTGACAATGCAGGCACAGGCCCCATGGGGCCATTAGGCTCTTGTCCATCTATAAACAGCACCAAGTTCAGGGTGCCCACCTCCTCAGGCTATACAGGAAAACACAAGGTGCAGGGCAGCATGGACGATCCCTCTGATACACAGAGCAATGCTGACAGCACAATGGCAGAGTCCTTTACCTGGTGGGCCTGGAAGAGCAGAATCTCTTGCCTGGGACTGCCCAAGCTTTTCTGAGACCTCCTCATGGACAGAAGGCAAAGGGACAGAGTAACTCCTCTTCAGCAAATGCCCAGAGGCTGCTGGACAGCTGCCCCCTTGATCTGCAGGGGAGATAGATATAAGCCAACTGCAGTCTCCACATGTCCTAGTGTCCAGCTCTTGAAGGGCTCAGGGTGCAGGGTCCCTACTGCAGTGCACGGCCCAGGCATGGCCCTCCTCAGCACCTGTGCACCTGCAGACAAACTTCCAGGCCACCTCACCATCTGCACCTGCCAGGGGAGTGACAAGAAAATGCTGGCCTCAGATTGGTCCTGCTGGGCTCCCCCAATCCCATGTCCTTCTTTGCCAACCACTGTGAGGGTCTCCTGAACTGACTGTCCCTACTGCTGCCTGAGTTCTAATGGAGCTGCTGCTTTCCCTTTGCTGTGGCCCCTGAGCACACCTGGGGTGAATCTTGGCTGCAGTGCTACAGCAAAGCTCCCAGCCTTGCAGTCTGCCTCAGCCTGTTTTGCAGAGGGCTATGACCCTCACCACCTTGGTCTCTGCAAAGGCCTCACTCAGGACTGCTACCCTGCACCAAGCACCTTCAGGAGGATGAGTCCCAAGGCTTTTGCTTCATAATGACCAACAGTACAGGAGAGATAAGTGCTACTCAGGAACAAAGACTTAATGAACACCTATTCCAAAACACATTTCTGGGGAAAGGTAAGTGGGCTGGAGCTAGGTCTTGGCCTTGCCCAAGGAAGATCAGCTGGTAGCAGGGCCAGGCCTTGGACTTTCAGGGTCTCTGCAGCATATGAGAGGGAGCCTTTGCATTCCAGCCCACATTCACCCCAAATATGTTTGAATTCAACAGACTTTTGTTAGCTACTGGAAACCCTTTTGAGAATATGATGATTTATAAAAATACAAAGAGCATACCCCCTCACTGTCAAGGTGGCTCTATGGTAACACCATAGCATAGGTCACCTATAGGTGTCCCACACAGTACAGGCCTCACTGGACAATTTAGTCCCCAGATTCAACCTACTCTTAAGCCAGAGCACAAGGCTGTGAACTTGCTCTGCATATAAAGCTTCCCCTGGGAAACTCCTTTACAGGGAAACCTAGAGGAACAATAAAGGAATGAGAGACAAGAGACCTGGGTGCAGGGGAAGAGACCTGGGCACAGGGCAGGAGACCTGGGAATAGGCAAGGAGACCCAGGTGTAGAGAAGGAGACCTGGGTACAGGGAAGGAGACCTGGGTGCAGGGCAGGAGACCTAGGTGCAGGGGAGGATACATGGGCAAAGGGAAGGAGATCTGGGCACAGGGGAGAAGACCTGGGTGCAGAGGAAGAGACCTGGGTGCAGGGAAGGAGATCTGGGAATAGGGGAGTAGACCTGGGTGCAGAGGAGGAGGAGACCTGGGTATTCATGAGGTAACTGGGCATGTGAGAATCTAGGCAGTGGAAGAGAGAAACCCTTGGCCTTCAAGGTGAGAGCCCCTCTCCATGGATGGGGACCATACCTGAGGTGCAAGGATCTTGGGGCTGTACAGGTTTCTCAAGACGCTCCTCTGTGCCACAAAACACCTGCCTTTTGGTCCGTCCAGAAGCCACACTGGCTACAGACACAAGAGGGATGGCCTGGCTCTCCTAGGGCATGAGAAGGAATATCAGCAGTACTCAGTCCCCACAGGCATTCCACTGAAAGGACCCTGAAGGACATGTTGGCACATCCCAGTACTGGGTGGGCTGTTACTTGGAGTCTAGACATGCCCAAAGGCTGGTTCTATAAGGCAGTGGCAGTTCAGCCTGCTCTCCTTTTAGGCTCTGCCTTTGACATAAGTCAAAATCATAGCCCAGAAACTGTAATGCTCTTCACGAAGAGGAAAAATACAAAACCCAAAAGGGTATTCCCTAAAACACCAGTAACTGAAGATGACAAACCCTAAAAAATCATTGGGACTAGGGAGGACACCCAGATGACATGAGAATAGTAACAATGCACATATACTGAGCCCTTAATACCGGAAATTCTGGGGACTTCACAGTACCTTCTGAGTGTCCTTTGCCCTCTAGGTTCTGGTGTTGTTCTAACATTTGGGGAAAGAGCAAGGAATGCAGCTCACAAGAGCTCTACCAGGTGGAAACTAGTCTTGCCCCTTCTCACGGAATAAGTGTCTGACCAGGGTCATATGAGGATGTGGGCGAGCCTTGTGCTCCTAGCAATGCTTGGTTCCCTCCAAACCCATCCCAGCTAAGTATCAGTTAAGGGCAGGACACAGAGCCAGGGGCTAGCAAGAGTGGCCTGGGGGACAAGTGCAGAAGGAACGACAGCTCAGCAGACAGCCTCTGTGCCCTGGGCAGGTTTGCAGTTGTAGAAAGGGAGAGAGGAAAGCCTCTACCCAGGCTCAGTGCCAGGCGAGATGAGCTCCAGATCTGAGAAGGAGCCCAGCTGCACCCCAGGTCCTAATAAATGTTCCTGACTCCCAGGAATCAACCCGGTGCATTGCTATAGGCCTGAAGCAGAAAGGCAAGCCCAACACATCATCAGTCCCAAACTCCAAAGCTGAGGACCTGAACTGGCATGGCCACGGCTGTGCTGATGTGTCTTCTGCAGGCACTGTGTACTCACGGGATTGAACAGCTCTGTGGTCAGGCCCAGGTAGTTGTGCAGAGCCAGGAATGTCACCCTCTGCAGCCGCACCATAATGATCTGCAGTGAGAGGGTGGGGGAGTGAGCAGCCACAGGCTGGAGGCTGGCCCAAGCTGACACACCTGACCTCCCAGGACCCGACCCCCTCCCCCAGCCAGCCCGCTGGCCATAGGAGGCTCTTATGGGAAATGGGGTGGAGGGGCACACAGGATTTGCATTGTTTTTGTAAGTTTTCTATAAATCTAAATTTACTCTAAAATGAGGTATTTAATTTTTAATTAAAAATATCTTTTGGGAGCTGGGGTGGTGGCTCAGTAGTAGAGTGCTCGCCTATCGTGTAGGTCACTGGGTTCGATCCTCAGCACCATATAAGAATAAATAAATAAAATAAAGGTATTGTCTCCATCTACAACTAAAAAATAAAAAATAAAAAAACTTTTGGAGGGAATAGGATATCTGGAAAATCTAAAGACCTCTTCCCCTACCCCCAGTACTGAGAATTAAACCAGGGGTACTTTACCACTGAGCCATACTCCCAGCCCTTTTTATTTTTTACTCTGAGACAGGGACTCACAGCTGAGGCTGGCCTGGAACTTGCAAACTCATGAAAATTAATTAATTTTTATTGTACAATACACATTACTGGGGCTGGGGCTCAGTGGCAGAGCACTCATCTCACATGTGTGAGGCCCTGGGTTCAATCCTCAGCACCACTTAAATGAAAGGGTATTGTGTCCACCTACAACTAAAAGAATATTTTTTAAAATAAACAAATAAATAAATAAGTAAATAAATATACACACACACACACACACACACATACATTACAAAAACAGCCTTAGTTATAGCTGGGCATGATGGTGCACACTTGTAATCCTGACCACTTGGGAGCCTAAGGCACAAGGATCACAAGTTCCAGGCCTGCCTCAGCAACTTAGCAAGGCCCTGTCTTGAAAAAAATAAAATAAAAAGGGCTGGGATTGTAGCTCAGTGGTAGAGCAGTTGCCCAGAATGTATGAGGCTCTTGGTTTGATTCCCAGTACTGCAAAAAAACAAAAAATCACTAGGTCCTATGAATCCCACCATTTTCTGGATCTACCAACAACTCAGAACTGACTCCATAAACTGGGAATAGCCCTAATCAAACCTCATGGTAGTTCCCAGGCCCCATGTCTGAGACAGCCATAGCAGCTGGGAAGTTGACCCAAAAAGTGACTCACCTGTACCACCCTCACCAGTGTTTCAGGATATTTCTCAAAAACTCCTTGAAAAGCCACAGCTGGAAGCCGAAGGATGGTGGATGGGGCCGCTGCTCGGGCAGAGACTGTTTTGTAAGGTGCAGTGTGACCCTGTAACAAAAGCTCAGTCAGTCCCACACCAGGGACACAGCACAGCTCCTGGGGAATTACCAAGACCCTTGTGGTCCTCTCTGGCTCCCTTTTGCAGAACTCCAAGCTCCTCCCAGTCTGGGCCATGGACAGTGCTATTTTGGGCACTAAACACAGACATTTCTCTGTGTGTTGGCAGAAGTTGGGGGAGGGGGAATACTGAGGATCAAACCCAGGGCCTCAAGCATGCTGGGCAAGTGCTCTACCACTGAGCATCATCCTCAGCCCTTTTTATTTCTATTTCAAGACAGGACCTTGCTCAGTTTCCCAGGCTGGCTTGAGCATGTGATCCTCCTGCCTCAGCCTCCCAAGTGGCTGCGATTACAGGCGTGCATCACCACGCTTAGCCTTTGTCTATTTTTGTTGTTTCTTATTATTTATTTTGAGAGTTTCTTGTGTATTCTGGATACAAGTCCTTATCAAATATGTTTGCAAATATTTTCTTCCAGTCTGAGGCCTGATTTTCTATTCTCTTCACTATGACTTGTAGATGATTTTAATTTTAGTAAAGATCAATTCTGATCTTTACTAAAATTTACTAATTTTAGTAAACTTACTAATTTTAGTAAAGATCAAATCATTCTGATCACCCTATCTAGTCTAGTCACTTCTCAAAACCCACCTCTCAATACCACAGTGGGGCTATCTTCCCACCTCATAACATCACTGACGTGAGGCTTTGAGGATGAAATGCCCACATGAGCTCAGGGGGACATAGGAATTGCCTCTGAAACTGCCTCTGAGTGTCTGTCTCTACTTTGGCTGCCCATGCTACAGATCTGTGTTACATGAGCACACACCTAGTCTACTATGGTTTTATCACGGGTCTCAAAACATAAGCAGTGTGAACCTTAATTTCTGACTTCACTTTCCCTTTCTTTTTTTGCAGGGCCAGGGAGTGAACCCAGCTCATGTATGCTAGACAGATGTTTCACCAATAAGCTGTACCCCCAAACCCCTATTCTTTAAGTTATTTTAGCTATTAGTTTCTTTGTCTTTCCATATAATTTTATAATCAGTTTTTTTTTTTCTTATTTGTGTTGGAGATGGAATCCAGGACCTCTTGTATGCTAGACAAACATTCTACCACTGAGCTAAACCCCCAGCCCTTTTATGTGTTTTTAAATTTTTTAGGTAAGGTCTCACAACGAAGTCTCACTAGGTTGTTCAGGGTGGGCTCAAACTTACGATCCTTTTGCCCCCAGCTCCTGAACAGCTGGGGTTATAGGTGTGCGCACCATGCTCAGCTTTTTCTACAAAACACGCTGCCAAAATTTGGACAGAATTATGTTGGGTAATTTGGGAAGATTTGCCTTCTCAGTAATATCAAGTTTCTCAAACCATGAAAACAGTACATTTCTCTATTTCCTTCATAAAGTTAATTTTCAGCAATATAACCCTGCACATCTTTTAAGTATTTCATATTTTTTAGTACTACCTATCACAAATGCTGTTTACAAAATTTAGACTGACAACTGCTCACTGCTGAGACACAGGCTGTAGCTGCTCTTGTGTGCTGAGGATATCACAGAACTCTTCATCAAGATGGTCTCCTTGCCTGTAAGGCAGTGGCTTGGCCTCCGCTCCAGCCCTTCTGCTTTTCCTTTTCCTCCTTGCCACCCTGGGGAGCCCTCCACCAGGATGCTCAGAGCAGTGAAGAGGACAGCTGCCTGGCCAGTCCCTGGCCTCCCACTGAGGCTGGCCTCAAGGTCAGGATGCTCCCTCCTCCCTGAGATGTTTCCACATCTCACATCATGAAGGGATTCTGGCTTCTGTCAAAGGCTTCTTTTGCATTTCCTAAGATGATTATATTTTTTTTCCTTGAGTCTGTTGCTAGGGTATTCCAAAATCTTGGCATTGGTAACACCCACTCCATTATGATGCAGCCCCCTTCCCCAGGTGCTGCTGGACTCAAGTTTCCAATTTTTGGTTGAGGATATTTGTGTCTCAGTTCAGGAGATACTGGTCTGCAATTTTCTTTTCTCGTAATGTCTGTTTTTGTATCAAGGCAATTCTGGCCTTAAAAGATGAGTTTGGAACCAGTCCCACCTCCTCACTTTTCTGTGAGTCTGTGTGAAATCAGCATTATTTCCGTAAATGTTATGTCAGTGGAACTCTCCAGTGAAGCCATTCAGGTCTGGAATGTTCCTGATGAGAAAGAATTTAGCAAAAAAATCTGACTTTTTTCATATACATGATATTCAGATATTCTCTGCTAGAGAGAGTTTGTCATTCAAGGAAATTTGATTTCATTTAGTTGTTGATTTTGTGGGCATGAGATTCACATTTTCCCTTCCTTCAACCTATAGAGCTGTCTCCTCTTCCATTTCGGACGTCCCAGCTTCGGTCTTCTCTTTCTTCATTGATATGTGCATTTTAGAGCTGTTTTCCAGGAACCAATGCTGTTGACTATATTGTTTTCCATTTTTAATCTCATTGAGTTCTGCTCTTCATTATTTCCTTTCTGTTTGATTTCAGTTTCATTTTCTCTTCTTTCCTAGATTCTTTTTCCTTTTTGGGGGGTTGGAGGGCAGGGGTTTACTGGGGATTGAACTCAAGGGCACTCTACCACTGAGTCCCATCCCCAGTCCTTTTTACTTTTTGAGACAGGGTCTTGAGATCCTCCTGCCTCAGCTTCCCAAGTTGCTGGGATTACAGGTGTGTGCCACTGCATTGGGTTCTTACCTAGATTCTCTAGAGAGAAGCTCATATAATTAATCTGAGGTCTATTTTATTTTCTAATACAAGAACTTGCAGTTATAAACTTTGATATGTTGTATTTTCATTTTCATTCAGTTAAAAAATTTTCTGGTTTTCCCGATTTCTCTCCTTTTTTCTCTCTTTTTTTTTTTTTTTTGGTGGTACTGGAGATTGAACTCAGGGACACCTTACTCCTAAGCTACATCCCTAGCCCTTTTTATTTTTTGAGATAGTCTGGCTAAGTTACTGAGGCTGGCCTCAAACTCGCAATCCTGCTCCCTCAGGTTCCTGAGTGGGGGGGATTATGGGTGGATGCCACTGTCCCCGGCTTGTTCTTTCTTCTAGATGGGAGATGTCCCTCTTCTCCTTGATAGTATTCCTGGATGATATTCCCAGGCTGGACTCACACTTGCAATTCTTCTGTATCAGCATCCTAAGTATGAGATTATGAGTGTGCACCACCATACCTGGCTTAACTCTTTCTTTTTAATATATCTAAGTCTTTTTATATATAAAGTGCACTTCTTATAGACAGTATACAGTTGGATTTTGGAATTTCCATTCAGATTCTCATTTGTATTCAGACTGCTTGTGTGAGTGCCATCACCAACGGGACAGGGTTCAGGTGTGTGGGTGCCATCAAAAATGTGGCTGAGCTCCAGTTGTGTGGAAGAAGACTATTGGATTCGTTAGGTTCAGACCACAGTCGTGCGTGTAAGTAAGTAAATATACTCCCAACCTGTATATTTGTAAAGTCTGGGTTCTGATGCTTTGCTCTGCTCTGCACATGCCATGTGGGAATTCGGCTGAGATTCAGGGTGAGATGTGAATCAAATGCAACTTTCAGAGCCATTGCCCTGCTGTTTGGGGCCCGACCTGAGACTCATGTGTTCCCAAATAAGTGGATCCATGTGCCCAGTACTCACCGCCCCCCCGACCCTCCCCAGGCCCTTTCTCTGGTTCTCTGAGACTCCTAGCAATCTGTAGCCAGCACTGTGACTGCACTGCCTTCAGAGTGCAGCCATGAGGCAGAAGAAAAGCCCAGCCCCAGGAAGCCCCTCATGAGTGATCTCTAGGCTGATCCTCAGTGTCGGCCTGCTTTGTTTCCAGAGGTCTCAGTGTTTGCTTTTGGCATTCTGTCTGGGTCCTAGCTGTGATGAGCAGGAGCTAGGCCCTGGTGGCATCACCCTGCCATAGCAGAACTAGAGTCCTCCTACTTCATTTATACTAATGCAAAAATTTTAATTTCCTTCTTTTTTCAGAACTAGAAAGGCAAAGCCCAACCAACCTCATGGATAGAAGTCAAAAGCCATCACTTGCATAGGTGAGGCTGTGCAGCTACCATAATTGCTCAAGAGAACAGATTCAGTCTTAATATTACAAGGAAGTCCCCGCAAACAAAGCAAAGCCTGGTGAATGTCAGGTCTCCTGGTGTTGCTCTCACTCTGAACAGACTGGGCAGTATCCACGTTGCTGCCCAGCCCAAATGAGAGTACAACATTTGGTTCTCAAGTTCTAGTTGAGCTCTGAAACTCAGCAATTTTTCTTGCATTTGGAATTCTGTCCATTTCCAAACCTTTATATAGATAAAGGTGACCCCTCAGAGACCCAAAACCACATCAAAAGAAACACAAGCACCTTATGCACAGCAGAGTCACCTCCAGCTACAGATCACAACCTCCTTCAGAAGTACTTCACTTACACTTCATGTGAGCTCCCTGTCTACAGGCAACTAAGACACAACCTCACCCTAACTCCCAGGTCCCAGTCACACCACCTGTGCAGCCAGCACATCTCCCAACTGCCAATCAGCTGGGGAGCTGGGACATGTAAAGCAGATCTGGGAGCACAAGGAGATGTGCCCACATCAGGCCCAGAGACAGGCAAGTCTCAGTCCCTGCACTAGAACCATAGCCAAACAGGCACATGTGTTTAGGGGAAGGAGGAAAAAGGGAATCCCAGCTTAACAGCTACTGTTAAACTGCTCCTGTGTGTTTTATTTTTTCAACTACTTATTCACTTAGTCAGAAAAGCATGCTCTCAAATTCACCTAAAGTCAGGAAAGTGAAAACCCCAGGGAAAGCTGTGTGCCGGGCGTGGGCCAGGTATGCACACAACTCCTCTGTAGGCAAGAATCCTCCAGAAACATGCACAGACATCCTCCACGGTATTGTGCGCAACATCCACCTGTAACCCGCCTGGGTGTTAACCAGCAATGGACAACAGTGGTATTACAGATGTCTGAACCAGAAGAGTGCCCA